ATATATATATATATATATATATATGTAAATATATATATGTATATATAAAGTATGTCTTTCAAGGTTGGGTTTCATTAGTTGTGATTGTTTACCTAAATTTCTGCATTTCTCTGTGTATCTTGCTACTAACATGCAGCCAAACATTTCACATTTTTAATCAGATCTATGCGTTATGATGCAAAAAATATTTACAAGATATAAAATACAAAAAGGCTTTGAATTAGCAACTGCACAAATAATAAAGGCTCACTTGCGCTATGTTTTTAAGAGTTAAAATGATTTGGAATGACCAATGAACGGCTGCTTTTCATTTCCTGGAGGATAAATTGTTTAATTTAAAGAAAATAAAAGCTGCAAAAAAAATTCTAAAATGTTGCAAGAAATATTAAAAGGTTGTTATATTTATTAAAAAAATAACATGCATCTTAAATTCATGAGCTAGTAATTCTTACCAGAACTGTCCATGTGCAGTACTTTCTACTTGTATATTTGTGTGTATATTTTATCTGTGATGGTCTACCTGTAGTACTCTAAGACGGGTTCTGTCTGGGTTTCGTAGCCCTTCAGTCTTCGTGTGACCGTGTCTGGTTTGTCATCGTCTCTCTGGACCAGAGGCTCCCCCGTCACATCATCCAAACCCTGGAAAGAGAAACAAACACGTGCCAAGGTTAACATTTCTATCTGAACGTGGGAAAAAAGTTTATTTTCATATTTATTGTGTAAATAGTTAAAAAAAATTTACATATCACCCAAAAGTTCAACAAAATACAGAATATCTGGGATATTGTTAGTATCGTGTTTTGGTTTCTTGTTAGGCTTTGGTCACATGACATCTGGGTTACACAAGTATTCCCATTAATGGTATACAACTATGGTAACAATACACAATACAGCCCAGTATTGAGTACATATCTGGTACCTAAGGGAACTGGACTATTTTATAAGGTCACCCATTACCTGCTATGTACTCGGTAAGTACTGTGCTCGGTACTTATCAGGTATGTTTCCAGTAGGTATTAGGTATGTACCCAGTAAGTACTGGGTACACACCAGCTGTACTGGCTACAGCTACAAAGATTTTTTTTGCATTTTGGTACCTCCAGCACGTCGATGTCAGCAATAGGGCAAATTAAAACGTGATTTTTCACTGGATGTTTAAATTATATTTACACAACATCAAATGTTTCTAAGCTTTCCGTGTTATTTTATATTCAAACTAGATGGATGATTTTCATACATACGTTTTAAAATGAAATTTTTGAAACTGATCGTTAGACAAAAAAGGATCATTTGAGCAACATTTGAGTGCTGCAAGAAAAAACAGAACATGTTTTGTTTTTGATCAGGACCAATGGATAAAGGTTTTAACAAGGTCCGATGAAGTTCCCATAACAACCAGCTGCTCGCAGCTTCGTTTCACCTTCATTTGGTTTCAGGTCATCAGCTCCCGGTCAGAAATCAATCCGCTGCTGGGCATCATTTATGTAGGATCAAAACTGAGGACGGCATTAACTTTGTGGAAGATTCAAAACCCAACCTATTTTTCTGAGAAACCAGCAAACAAATATTTGAAAGGGTGTACTTACGGGAACTTTAGGCGGGTTGAAATCTGTGTTATAGACTCTGCCACTTGCAATGTGAGTCCAACGAGAAGTCAGTCTTTCTTTGATGGTCTGGAAAGGCACGTTGAGGTTGATGACCGTATCGATCACGTAGGTATTATCAAGAGCCTCTGCCTGGGGCACCGTACGAGGGAATCCTGGGGGGAAACAAAGAAAGGCAAAGACAGACATGAAAACTGTTCATAATGCAAATCACATACAGTACCATGTGTGCTCTGACTGTCAGAGATGAGTCTCGGCTACTGCTATGCCAATTTTTAACTCAATACTGTGTATGTAAAATTTAGGGATGCACAATATCGGATTTTTGGCCGATATCCGATATGCCAATATGTTGAAACTTATTTGGCCGATAACCGATACCAATGTTTTTTCCCCTAGACCTACTTACAGAGACTGCATAACTTTCTCTGCTGTGAAATTAAAATACTACATTATTCTGAATGGTCTTTGTCAAGTTGCCCTGCTACCAAATGCAGATGCCAAAAAGTGGGCTGAAAATGATGTAACACTTCAACTTGGATTATGTTTAATGTCAAATTTATTCATGACATTTACTCTCTAACACAATGACAACACTTGAAGTCATACAAAAACAGCGCCTTTTATATATGTATATATAACAGCATACATCTGTGAGTTATTTTAATGGAATGATCGATGTCTGATATTTTACGTTATCGCTAATATCGGTCGATACGATACCATGCCGATAATATCGTGCAGCCGTAAAATTGACTGTTATAGCAGTTTTTGTGACATTTAAAATAACTTTGGTGGCTGTCTTGAATTGTATCGACTCCAAAAGTTTATACATCCAGTGATTCTTTTTGAGTTGCTTTAAAATCCATCAACTGGCTCATGAGATGTTTTGCTAACAGACCCATGCACTCACACACACGGGCACTGACTGACGGAAAACAGGCTGAAATGAACCATCTGCTGAGTAGTTTATCTAAGGTTAGAGAGTAAACTGTAAACGGCTGGTCTCACACACACACTGTAAGACCTTGAACAGGAAAAGCTGATAGCATGTCCCTCTTGCAACAACTTTCCAAAAAAAAACAAAAAAAAACGATGAACCAAGTTTGAGTTCTCCTACCATCAAGCAGCCAGCCGCTGTGGTCTATCCTCCTCAGGTCGTTCAGGATGATGCGGGACATGATGGCGTCGGGGACCAGCTGTCCCTGATCGATGCAGGACTTCATCAACAGGCCGAGCTCTGTCACAGAAAAACAAAGAAAAGAAACCGTCACATTAACATGCACCAGGAAGTTTCGTCTTTAATGTTTAAAAGCTCTTTAGTTTGTCCAATGAACGCAATAACAAGTTTCTGTTAAAACATATGAACAAGGTATACATCAAGATTAAACTATCGTTTTTATTATTTTAATTTGTTGAAAAAAAAACACTAAAATGGCAGTGCACCACCCAGCCTGGTACATTCTTACCAGGTACGTAGCCAGTAAGTACCAGGTGCGTACAATGTACCAGGATAAGTACAGGGTAACAGGTCACTTTATAATACAACCCGATCCTCTCAGGCATCAGGTAAGTACTCTGTATTTAGGGTATCCAGAATATAATGGGTTGCATTATGTATTTCTACCTTAACATTTTATCAACATTTTATCTGTTCTAGAATTGCGCCGCTCAAGGTGGCTGCATGTTGGAGCAGCTCTGTTACTTTCATTCTGAGATTTTGTTTTTGGAAACTTTAATTCCTCTTTTTCTGGATATAAATCACATTTTTTGGATGATTGTTTCCTCTGGTATCGGATGCTGTGCAGCTGGAAGGATTTTTACTGAAACTTTTTTTAGTTTTGGACATTTGCTATGATGCGCAACTATGGCAACAAAGCAGTTTTCTACAACCAACAGCAGCTGATTAACATCTCAAAAGCTCAAATAATATCTCAACTACAGCCCCAAATCTCAAATGAGCTGAAAAGGAGGTGCCATAGATGCATTCTCATCTACCCGCCAGCTGTGCTCGAGTGCCTGACCACTGAGACCCTGAAACTAGCAGGAAACACGGCTCATGACAGCAGAAGGACAGGATCGTCCCTCGGCACCTACAGTTGGCTGTCCGCAGCGATGAGGAGCTCGGCAGACTGCTGGGAGGAGTGGCCATCACTCTGGGAGGAGTTCTGCCCGGCATTCGGGCGATCCTACAGCCCGGGGGAACCGAGAGGCCAATTAAATAGCAGCCCGAACACGAGTTTATTGTGTGCAGATGGGTATGAATACAGCAGCATAAAGGCAAGAAATCAGCAGCACAGATAAAGTGACATGTCATATCACCAATGGGATTCATGAGTCTAACAGCCTAAGGGTAGAAGCTGTTCCTCAGTCTAGTGGTTCTACACTTAATGCTCCTCAACCTCCTGCCTGAGGGGAGCGGGGCAAAAAGTGTGTGTGCTGGGTGAGTGGGGTCCTTCATGATGCAGGTGGTCCTCTTCCTACATCTGGAGGTGTAGATGTCTGTGATGGTGGGGAGGTTGACTCCAAAAGACTTCTGTGCAGCCTTCACCACTTTCTGCAGAGCTTTCCTTTCTCATATATAACAAGGTTTTTTGTGAGAGGATAAAAAAAACAAACATAATGCAAAACAGATTAACTGTAACTAGAAAACAGTTCTCAACTGTGAATTGCACAACTTTTAAGACATTTTTACCATAATGTGTTACAGATTATCTTCATTTTATTTTATTTTTAACAGTAAAATACTTGCAGCCACAGCTGCTGGCATTTAATCGTAACTTCCACAAAACTTTGTTTGCTAACAGAAAATGGAATAATCTCTGAAACGCAATAAAATATGTCAAAAAAAAATTCTACCAACATTTTGAATACAGTCATTTTGTTTTCTTTACAGTTCTATATTAAAAAAAAAAAAAGAGAAGCAGCTACCTAAGTTTGGACGACTCAAATGGTCAATCAGATCTGTGACTTGTTTGCAGATATCATCAGCCTGGATCTAATTCAATTAACTCCTCAAACACTCGCACAACAATCAGTGACTCTACGGGATTTAATCATGGGTGACAACAAAGCAGACAAAGGTCATGATAAGACGGGCAGATGTTTCCTGAATTTTTAATTCAATTTGTGGACAAGCTGTTCAACAGACAAAATGTGAAGGATAAAGAACATTTTCTTAAACAGGAATGAATGAAAAAGTTCAGGGAAGCTTAGCAGCTCATGATTCTCCACCTGCATTCAAACATCATGAAAGAATCCTGTGTCTGATAGAGGCAAACACTGTGGGCAGATAAACAGAACTTGAAATAAATATATGCAAATATTACACTTGGCGAGAAAATATTTCATTAAACAACCATAAAACTGTAAAAGCTAAAAAAAGAAAAGGAAAAAAAACATTTCCAGGCTTTACATAAATTAGGCTTAAACAGAACCATTGCTCAAAATCCGTACATAAAAGAACAGATTTCGAGATGGACCAATCATCTTAGAGAACCACATCAAATTTAAGTTAAATATCTGTAAAATTGATTAAGTTATAAGCATTTTGTGTGGCCTAATGATTAACTGTGGCAGCCATTTTGAAGTGGGTTTGCTATAAAAGGTAATGAGTTATAAATGCACATGCGGTGATTGCTTTCCATGAGTTTCATTGACATTCATTGAGCGGTTCAAATATTTAACGGTCAAACATGAAAACAGGCAAAATATATATACTGTCTTTTCCCAAAATTTAGAAGCATTAGACTCTACGTTTTTGTGTTTCACTCCCACTTCAAGTGGTCAAACTCCAGCTGAAGAATCTTAAAACGTCCTGCAGAAATGACCTGACTTTGTCGTTTACCAGCTGCTATATCAACACGGAAAAGAGCCGAAGGTCAAACTGCCTCTGACTCAACAGGAACTCTTCAAGGAGCTGTTTTCTGTCAGTCTGGAGGGCAAAGTGAACACGGAGAGATCTTATTTTGTATTCAGGGGCATCGGTGCAAAGCTTGCACCAGCAAAGATTAAAGGGGGAAAAGTCTCAACCTGCAACACTAACGTGCTTTTAACTAACGAGAACACTAAAGAGCAATCAGAGGGGTGAAAGGTCAGCAGTTCAAGTCATAGGACCCGGTGGGGGAAAGTTCTGTCAGCCATAATTAATACTGACTCAGAAAAAAATACTAACGTGTGAAAATATGTTTGCTTAGCAGGAATCTGTTGATCTAAACTTGTACGTTTAACAGCCCTAAAATCAATGTATTTGTGCTGAGTAAACAAATCTGTTTACTTCCTGCTTTGATTATCAGCAGCTGCTGAAGGGAGAAGGTTCTTGTCGTTGTCTGGCTGTTAGCAAAATATTTCATAATCAACTGCAAGACTTTTAATGAAACTCTCAGAAAGTGACTGTTTAAGATGGTCACCACAACTAATCAACATTAGCAAATGCAAAATGAATGGCTATAACTAGAATTTGGCATGGTAGTAGCTGAGAGTCATCCACAACGCATGCTCTGAGCACGATGGCTTACATAACATGGATTAAGTTGAACTAGGAGAATCAAAATGTGCGGTTTTTAGCAGAATACTCAAAAGTCGTTTGAAAATTTCTGTAGCTGTGTTTCTCTGTCATGCAGGTTTTATTTACCGGTAAATAAAAAAAATACACGTCTTAATCAGTAATCTTTTCTTTGAAGGAACAAAAGTTCACAGTTGCCGTTATCTTAACAGCTCTTTTAATCTTCAGCCAAGGTGACGATGAGGAGCAGCTGACCTCCTTCCAGGTAAATGTTTGCAGTATAAACATAAAAACATATATATATAAATAATTTAAACATTATAAAACGCTGACCGGTTTGACTTTAACTTGGGTGGAAACTTGTTTTTACGCCTTGCGTTTGTGGCATGTCACAGACAGATAAGAATTACACAGGAGTGGCGCTCTTATCACAAACCGCAGAACTCCTTTAGCTGTTTTTAATCTTCACACAAGTTTTTTTTATTTTTATATATATATATATATATATAAAACTAAAAAACATCAGAGGCCATGCATCTTCTGCAAACAACACAAAATGAATGCTGAATGACAGCTGAAAATTGCTGCAGAAGCGTAAACTGAGTTGTTAAAGCTAAAAGTAGAACACAAGCCAAAATTAGCACATTAGCTAATTGTAGCAGAAAGATGGCTAAAACTAGCAGAACGCTCGCTAAAAAAAATAAATAAAACCGCAAAATTACCCATAGATGAAGGCAGCAAAAGGTTAAAGCAATATATATATATATATATATATATATATATATAGCACTAGCAAAATGTAACAAAACATTAGCTAAAGTCATTAGAACACCAGCTACAAGCTAAAAGGACCAAAAGCTACAAAAGCAGCATAAGGCACATTTAAAGCTAAATCGAGCAAAGCTATAGTACAGAATCAAAACCTAATTAGAAGCTAAAACAAGCAGAACTGTAACTATAAGCTAAAAGCAGCAAGAGACTAGCTAAAAGTAGAATTGTAGCTAAAAGCTGCACGGCTTACAAAGAATAGCAGAAAGCTAACTAAAAGATAAAAATGCAAAATGTTTAAATAGGCCAACTCAAAGTAAATTATTATATCTTAAAGCTAAAGAAGAGCTAAAAGCTAAAATGTAGCAAAAGGATAGCTAAAATATTAAAAAGCTAGCTATAAGCTAAAAATAGCAGAATGGTAGCTAAAAGTAGCAAAAAGCTAAAAGTAGCATATATATAAACTCAGAGCAAGTATGCTGGAGCAGGTTTCAATGAAAACAAAGTTTTAAATGAGAATTTGAGAGATTTTAATGTAGTTCTATTGTGAAAATCTTTGTAAATGAAACATAACATAGCAGACATCTATACAAGCTGAATGGTTTGTCTGGTTGTAAAAGGGAAAATGCAGAATCAGCATTCATTCAGCGGTTTGTTTTCTCACACGTGTATTTTCTCACCTGTCTTTTCCTTAATGTTGGCTCTTAAAATGTCCCCACTGGAGATGTGTTTGAGCCCAAAAGTTTTGGCAATGCGGCCAGACACCGTTCCTTTCCCTGATCCCGGAGGTCCCATGATGACAGCACGCATCAGTCTCTGCACAACCATCTCCACTCGAGTGCTGCTTTTTTATGTTTCACCAAACAGATCAGCTGCAGGTTTTAAACACAGCTCTTCTTCCTCTGGATGTTCGGACAGAAGCTCGTAGGAAATGCTTTTCGGCCCCAGTAGAAGCTACGCAACAATGGGCGAGTCTTTGCAGCCACTTGGAGAGGAAGAGGAGGGAAAGGAGGAGGAGAAAGATGAGAAGCAGGCCAAGATGCAGACCCACATGATTGTCTTGAAAGAGCCTTTCCCTACCATACGTATTGTGAAACTTACTCTTCTTTAATAGCTTTATTGGGCATGCATTTATTGTACAACACGGTTATGTAATTGATCCACAGGCGACAAAAGCTTTGGCAAGGTTGATTAATCCCTTTCATCCTGTGAACAGGCAGCTTGGCATGCAGTCTGAACGGACCAGCCAGTGTGTTGAGTGTTTAATTTTGTGAGATATTTGTATGCATATTATATTTGTAAATATTGCTGGTTCAAATGTGACTTCAATACAATAAAAAATCATTTGTTATTTGCCTTGTGGCTTTTTGTTTACATTTATCAATGACTATCCCTTTAAGAAACAAGCCACGCCCACCCAGTTTTAGTGGTTTCACTCCATTTATTAGCCACGACTCACAATCCGGCTGAGGGCGGAGTTTGGATTCCAATGTTAAGCGGTGCGTAAGCCGGATGCCCTGCAAATTAGATAAAAAGGTTGTTGCGATGCATGTTGTGAAATCTGTTCAATATAATAAACGAGTTAATGAGTTAATAGTGAGTAGTTTTGGTGGTTAGCTAGTCTTTAACACCGTTTAATGAACAACAAAATGTTATATTTAATTTTTGTGTGTGTAACAAACACTACAGTAGAAGAGCAATAACAATAAAAATAGTAAAAAAAAAAAAAAAAATTACTCTAAACCTATCTTAAGTGGATGTAAGTTGAAGGTAACCGCGTTAAATTCATTTTAAATGAACGATGCTGCCATCTAGTGCCACAGGTGAAAACTACACTTAATAAAGTCATTTTATTTAAGGAAATATCTAATTTTTTTACTTCTGATTAATAAATGTCATTGTTTGACAAAAATGTTTTTGAGCATTTATGTAGATTTTTCAATATAGTAAAACATTCTTGTTTTTCAGGAAAAACATTCAAAGTTTTTAATGGCTATTTTCTCTTAATCATTTATCACTCCTTTAGCAATGATGTGCCTCAAATTCCCCTTGCAATAATAAAGTAACTGGGCTTTTAAATTGAGCCTTTATATTAAAACAAATATTCTGAATGTATTATATTAATTAATTTTCAAATACTTTAACATGTTTTGTCTGTGGCATCCATAATATGAATCTGCAGGAATTTCTAACCAGTATGGCAAATTTTACATCCACAAATGCAAAATGTTATTTTTCTATTAAAGGCCAAACATAACCCATTTGATTCAAATCTTTCCAGAAACTCACTTTTTATAAGTCCATTATTATGAATAAATTAGTATAGTTTTATTATTGAATCCTTACTATAATTTCTTTTGTAATGTGCTTGTGGTATTTTAAGTTATTTGTACATATTTATTTATTTATTTATTCAAAAGCCAATAGATTAGGAAAAATCTAGACAGACGTGGCGCGTTGAAACGAGAGGCAACAACACCTTTTCGACCCTTCTGGCTTTCCGTATTCGCGCCTCCCTTTAACGTCTTGTCTGCTCGAACGCACGTGGATCTTCACGCCAGGCGCAAACAACAACATGGCAAGCCTCGGGCTTTCCTATGACGGCTGCAATTTCTTCAGACAGCGATTGGTTTTATCGACACTAAGCGGGAAGCATGTGAAAATAAAAAACATTCGGTTTAAGGACGACGACCCGGGACTTCGAGGTGAGTTTTAGCTTCGCCCCGCGCGTGGCGTCGCCGTTAGCTCGGTGGCTAACAGGTTAGCTGTTACGCAGTTGGTAGTGCGTTTATTACTGGGAGTTACAGATGTGGAAAATAACGGGATACAGGTGTAATTTAAAGGTAAATGTAATGGCATACTATTATTGCAACTTTTGTTGTTTCCAGCTCATGTTAAAATATTGTAAACAGCTATCAGTATATCTTTAAATAAGTATTTTTGTGTTTTGTTTTGCATCCATCACATTTAAATTTCATATAAATTCATCAAACGACACGGGATTCAAAAGTAGTTTGCCACATATTTTTGTCGACTTCAATTCAGATAGCCAATGCTTGTGAAATTCAACTGTACTTGTTTCTAAACGTTTATCATTTATATGTTTACTTTTAGATTTTGAGGCCAGCTTCATCAGGCTTCTCGACAAAGTGACCAATGGTTCCAGGATAGAGATTAATCAAACTGGTGAGCAATTAATACTTTTACCCATACATTTTAAAAGAGATGCACGATATTGGATTTTTGGCCGATATCTGATATGCGATATATTTATACTTGTTTGGCCGGTGATCGATACCAATACCGATATTTTCTCGATGTCCGATATTTAACTTTTATCGCTGATATCGGCTGATACCGATACATGCCGATAATATCGTGCATCCCTACATTTTAATAATTTCTTGAAACAATAGGATTCTTCTCTATGCTGTACAAACTATTTAACTGGAACAGTTTGTACTTTGTGTTTATTTTGGTCTGTCAGTACACAATTATTTTTGTTTTTAAACGTATCATGAAACTTTACGAACCCTGTTACTCATTGAGGTACTAACAGTATTTTACTGGGACACATGTTTCTAATTTAATTTGTACAGTTGTGCTTAACTCTCATCATTACAAAGATTGTTATCTCCAGATAATGGAGACCTAAAAATTAAATGAGTAAAGGCAATCTACAGATCAGCTTTTGGAAAATAAAAACATCCCCTTGATCTGGACACGCATCTCTTTTTTCCATTATCAGTGATTTTATTCATTATTATTTTACCTGGCATTGCTATCCTTACTACTTATTTAGGTTGTCGTAGCACCTATAAATACATGCAGGAGATTACAGTTGCTCCTCAGAATTACAAGGTCACCTCAGTCTAGTCATGCTTTTATTTTAATATGTATTATTAGGTTTTATGTTTTTATTTAAATTCTGTTTTTACTTTCCGTCAATATTCCTACAAGTTAAGGAACAAACTACACCCGTTTTTAAATTATAGTAACTTGGGACTGCTTTACACAAAAACATTACGTAAACTTGACTATTAAAGTTGCATTGTTTAATTTGATACTGTAGATGGTAAATGCATGATCAGCTATATATACCTCTTTAAATCTAAGTGCTGTGTGGAGGATAATGTCTGTTTTTGTCTGTTTTTACTAGGTACTGTGTTATTTTACCAGCCTGGCCTGTTGTACGGCGGTTCTGTTGAACATGACTGTAACCCACAGCGTTCAATCGGATATTATCTGGAGGCGCTGCTCATGCTGGCCCCTTTTATGAAGATGTCTCTGAAGGCAACTCTGAGAGGAGTTACCAATGACCCCACTGATCCAACGGTGAGCATGTCTGGATTCATCAGATCACACCCTTTTGTCCTGCTTTATTTTTGAGTCATCCTGTTTATATTTCGAGTACATGTTTCCCCTAAAATTATTCTCTGACTCCAAACAGCGCACAATACAAACGCAGCGCTCTGCTCCCCCCAGTTTCCTGTTCTTTGCTGCCAGGAGTGACACTCACTGGAGATTTTCTTTTTCGGATCATTCTCTGTAAAAATTATCAGAAAATATTCCGACCAACAACCACGCCATGTTCAAAGTCACTTAAATTCCCGTTCTTTCCCATTCCACTGGCCTGATTAAAGTTGTCTTCAGCACATCTCTTTACCTAAAAACAAACAGAGTTGCTGCCATGTGATTGACTCTTTGCATAAAAAAAGCAAACTTATAGACCTAATAAAGTCTTTATGACTGTAAAATTGTCTCATCTTTTATTTTCCTGTTTAGTTTCACCCATCGTCTTGACAATCTAGTCTCTCCCAGTGCATCTTCTTACTGAGCTGCATTGTTTCAGTCAGAGATGTCAAGAATCCAAAAACAAGGAAGCAGCTCTGCACGGGACAAAGCTGTTGTCCTAGAAACAATGTTTGTTGTTGTTTTGGTTTATTTGTTTATTTTTTGGCTTTTATCCTTGTATGTTTTCCTTCCTCTGTAGACAAGAGGTGCATGTGTCCAAATGTATTTGCTCTGTCTCACAGGTTGATCTGCTAAAGTCCACAGCACTCCCTCTGATGAAAAAGTTTGGTATAGATGGAGATGGTTTTGATATTACGGTGAGGATTTGGTGGTAATCTGTCCACAGATGTGGTTTAAAGATTTTTTTTAAATGTGGGGCTTGCACTTGAACACATCATTGTCTGACTGTTGCTGTTCTCTCAGGTGGTGAAGAGAGGAATGCCGCCAGGTGGAGGTGGAGAAGTTGTTTTTACGTGTCCTGTCCGCAGGATAGTCAAACCGATCCAGCTGACTGAGCCGGGCAAGATCAAGAGGATCAGGGGTGTAGCGTATCCTTTTCAAGCTTTCACAAAAATCTTTATTACTACTGAAAATCCTCTTCACAATAAGCAAATATCACGATAGACAGAGGAGGAAAAAGCATTGATTAATGCCTGAAACACGGGAATGAAGTTCAGTTTTATCATCAAAACGTGATTAAATAAATACATCCCTGATGATACAATCAATGATAATTTGTTAGCCTTATTTTATTTTTAGTTCTGATTTCTTTCAGTGAAAAAAAAAAACAGTAGTGATTATGAAGAGAGCTTTTTCTATTGCAAGAAAATTAAATGTTGATGTATGCAAGTACTGTATTTTTTGCCCTATAAGTTGCAGTTTTATTTATTTATTTATTTTTTTTGCATAATTTACATGCCCTGCGACTTGTAGGCCGAAGTGACATATTTATGGGAAACCCCCCCCCCCCCCCATATTTATAAACCAATTTTTGGCTGAGATGACCGTTTGCATTCGTTCTGACTGAAAACAATTTTTTTGAACAGTGCCATTTTCAGCCACTAGATGGCAGCAGAGTAGTAGTAGCAGTAAGGCATGCGCTCCCGGATCACCGAGGCAACGAATACTTTTGAAATACAGCTGATTTGACCGTTAAAGTCCTTTCATTAAGCAAGCATTGGACTGAGACACACCTTTACTATAATTTCGAGCAGACAAATTAGATTAGACATATTTGGACTGATGCAACTGGTGCAATGGGTACGGTGGAAAATACGGTAACAGTCCTCAGATTTTTCTTCTTTCTTCTAAAGATTTTGTCGTACGTTCATTTGAGGGATTAAAACACAAACGCAGTCAGGGTTTTGGGGTTTCCTTGACGTTCTAAATGCAGATATTCTGTACGAGTTTCACCTCAGATGGGCAACAGGATTGTGGTGTCAGCCAGGAGCATCCTCAACCAGTTCCTCCCAGACATCTACATCTACACAGACCACAGGAAAGGAGCCAGCTCAGGAAAGTGGGTACCTCTGTGTTCATTTTAGCTGCTATTCTCATACATTTGTGTTTCTTGGGATTCAGCAAGACATTAATTCAATGTTTCTTTAACTGCAGGTCTCCAGGTTTTGGTCTAACATTGGTGGCAGAAACACTGAACGGCTGCTTCTTCAGTGCAGAGATGTCCTCTGTGCCGCAGGGGCAGGGTACTGTACTGCCTGAGGACCTTGGCAGAAATTGTGCCAAACTGCTCTTGGAAGAGGTGTATCGGGTAAGCGCCCTCTCTTAGGGAGGAATAAAAATTCTTTAAAAATACCTGAAATACATGACTGAATCTCTTAGTACATCAACATTCACCACCCTTGTTTACACACATTCCCTAGTAATGGCCCACATCTGCAGATCAGCTGAGGAACTGTTGGCAATTTGACAACGCAGAGAGCAGCTGGAGGACATTTTCATTTTAATTCAGACTTTAACTTCGCTGTAGCTTGTGGTCAAAATCACAAAATGAGTTTTTTTATTTAGCTATTTACAGCAATAATGTTTAAATGTAATTCTACATTTAATACACTGCTGTATGTAGGCCTGTCGCGATAAACAATTAATCAGTTAATCGCATGATAAATGAAAATTATCTACCTCATTTTCATTTATCGGGTTTATCCTTTCTTCGTGTCTCTTCTCGTGTCTCTTTTTCTTAAGAGACTGCTCGCTCCCTCACTAGCCATCCTTCAGTTCAAACAGTTTTATACTGCCATCCAGTGGTCAAAAAAAGGTACAACACACAAATTAACCAACATTTCTTCTTAAATTTGACAATAATAGCTAATTATTGTCAAATTTCAAACAATATTATCGTTTATCGCAATAATTTCGGAGACAATTAATCATCCATCAAAATTTGTTATTGTGACCGGCCTAGCTGTATGATTTTATTGGGCTGCACAGTATGTCAAAAACAGATTCATCTTAAATAGGATTTCAGTAACATTTTTAAATATCTGTCATCCATCCATTATCTTTATTCGCTTCTCTTCGGGTCACTGGTGTCCATGTCCAGCAGTCACTGCAAGAGGCGGGGACACCCTGGACAGGTCTCCAGTCCATCACAGGGACACATGGAGACAAACCAAACAACCATTCACACACACTCTCTCACCTTGGGACAATTTAGTTACCAATCAGCCTAACATGCATGTTTTTGGTCTGTGGGAGCAAACGGAAGTACCCAGAGAAAACCCACGCATGCACGGAGTGAACATGCAAACTCCACCCTGTTTACCCCCCTCCCTTCCTGGGATTTGAACCGGCGACATTCTTGCTGAGAGTCAGCAGCTCTACCAACTGCGCTACCGTGCTGCCTTTAATAAATACCAATCAACCCTTCTTAATAACAGCTCTACCTTATACTGTTTCTAATTTATTATGGCCTGCTGTCAATAAGCAAAAGCATGTTCATGTTTCAGTCTGTTAGCGAAATATCTCATAAACTATTAGATAGATTTAAATAAAACTCTGGCATGGAAGGCTGCAGGTGCATTCCTACAAGTAATGCTAGGCTTTTAATTGTAAAAATAAAATACTGATAATTTTAAAATAAGTATAAACTTAATTTAACTAAAATGTGATGGAAGTGTCATCTAGTACTTTTTGACTGTTGTTTAGAGTTTAGATGTTGAGACTGCATTCATTTCTCATGTTAAAAGTCAAATATCAGTGGCTTTAATTCAGATTTTTAACAGTTTTGTACCTGGATGTGTTTTCTGCTGACGAGTTGATGAGTCAGCGATCGCTCAAACAGATTTGATAAGTAAGAAATTCATGAATGAAGACGTCTAACCCCGAGGACAAAAAAAAACAGCTCCTAAAACATAATGTGCCTCATTTCCTGTGCGCTGTGTTGGTATTAACCTTAACCAGGTTGTTACTGTGCACAGCTGCAGGTGAGCTCGCACAGGTAAATAACTTGGAACAGAATAGGTACAATGAGGTTCTGTGTTTTTAGTCTGCTTCCACGTGGCTGTATTTGCAGCCTTCCATCATCGGAGCCATGTGAGTCCAGTTAGCTGGTCAGGGTAGGGCTGATTAACTCTGAAAGAAGAATATTGTTGATTCGTCCTCTTAACGCCAAGCTGCAGAGTGCTGAGCTAACCATTCTCTGTCCGCTGCCTTATGGGCTGGTAAGTGCAAAAGTCTACTTCTTTTGTTTCGGCTCTGAACTTTAAAACAAGCAAATGCTTCTCAAAGAGCATGTAAATTAATCAGACGAGTTGGACCACTCGGTATTTGAATAACAGCTTTTTTTAATCTGAAAACCTGCCGGTAGAGCAGCTGCAGGAGCCGAGAGGAGAATCAGAATCGAAGGATGGGGGACTTTTAAACTGGAAAAGTTTTAGTTGAATCTGGAAAAAAAAAAAAAAAGGAAAAACTTTGTGGATTTGTGTTTAAGGTCATGGATGGGCGCTCTCTCTGTTTGTTTTATGGTTAATCAGTACGGTCGTCTTTCTAGTGGTGAGCCACGGCCACAAACATGTTTTTAAAAGCAGCGTCATCGCACGGCAGGAGCTGGTGTAAGTGGCAAATTACGACTTTTTTTATAGTATATCGTTTTAGATGTTTTTTACAACGTTGGCTTTTGATTGTTTTATTTGTATCCAAAAATAAAAGTAGAAGTGAACTTAGTTTTGGTTACAAAGAGGGTCCAGGTGCCATTTCTAATATTGATATGAATTATCACAGCTAAGCTAAAAAAAAAATAAAAAATGTCTTTAATTTCCCCTTTGGCATGCATCTGTTTCTGTGCGACACAGTTTAATAGTTTTAGTTGATTTGATTGTGTAAATGCTTGAAGATGTTTCTTTGGCTGCATCTTTTCTCTGATAGTTGAACAGATCGCCTTTTGCTCAGAGGATTTAAGGGACTTTTCCACAAGTTTTGCTTTTTTTCTTCTAGTGTCTGTTGGCCTCTTGGGACATTTAAACCATCTCTGAAAGGCAGGATGTGAAAGTGGCAGTTATATAATAAACCGTTGACTTGCGTCCTTTAGTTTGTAGAGAAACAGATGAATTTAAGTAGCTTTGGCTTCTCTGGTTCAGGTAGAGAAAAAAAAACGTAAGTGCTTTATCTTTGGGGTTTTTTATTTTATTTTGAAGCCGACAGCAGTAAATTGAGGAAGGTATATTTTGTTGGTAGAATAGTTTGAACTTAAATCTGTTCATAGCAAGGTTAAGATCAGAAAAGCAAGCTTAAAATGATAAAACACTTGTCTGTATGCTAGAATAATGGAGGAAAAAAATGTTTTTTTTTGCAGCAGTTTTTATTTCAGACCTAGTTTTGATTTTTTTATATTGTGGAAGGTAATTTGAAGCTTGCTTGTGCATGAGGTTAAACTTTTCCTTAGCACAATGGACAATATAAACAATGTTGTCATACTTTAACAATGTTTTCAGTGTTCTTATTACGTAATTGAATCATAGTTATGCTGACAAGCTTCCACGATGCCTGCATGGCTGATCAATAAAACTACTTTGTTGGACTGGACACGTTATAAAAATGTAAAATAAGGGCTATAACTGCATCTGTTCAGAGTGATGTAGTTTATAGAATACACTTGGGTGTGTCCAGCTCCTCGCATGGATTGGGAAGTTTCATGTTGCTTTTATGAAGTAATCACAATGGCATGTGTTGGCTTCAATACTGAGCTGATCCTCAGTCATTTTAAGTTTATATGTCGAAAAGATGTGGATAATCACAGTAGGGCTGGAGCTTCATCTTTCAGCTTTTCCTCTTCAGGGGTCGCCACAGCGAGTCCTCCATTTCTGTCCTCACTCCAACTACCTCCATGTCCTCTCTAACTGCATCCATACATCTTCTTCTTTGTCTTTTTCCTGGCTGCTGCATTTCTAACATCCTTCTACCAATATACCCACTGTCCCTCCTTTGGACATGTCCAAACCATCTCAGGTTTGGCACAGTAGGGCTGGATATTCAGAAGAAGAAGAAAAAAGCGCTTGAGCAAAACATGAATAAAAAATTAACTTTTGCAACCATCAGTAATACAATTTTGTTTTTATTGTGCATCAGGTGAAAAAAAAAAACCGTGCATTTAGTTTAAAAATCTTGTAAAAACAAGAAAATTGTAAACTAGTTTTTTAAATGTTTAAGTAGCTTTGTGCACATGTTTGTCCTTAATTTGGCTCCGGACCAGGTCTATCAGTTCTGACCCTGAAGTGATCAATCCTAGTCAAAGGGTCCATTTCTCTGTGACGCACTTTGCTGCTGCTGAAAAACACGGTCCTTCTCCTTCTGCTGTCGTAGGGCGGCTGCGTGGATTCGTCCAATCAGAGCCTGGCGTTGCTCTTGATGACCCTTGGCCAACAGGATGTATCAAAGGTTCTGCTCGGACCGCTCTCACCGTACACGTAAGCCACAGCCACTCATAACACCTGAGCTCCACGTCTTGAACGTTACAAACTAGGATTGCATAAGGTGATAAATTATTTTAGACCTACTTATTTTGCAGCTGCAATATATCTCAACACGAGTTTAGTCTAAAACTCATCAAATGTGGTCGATGTGCATCCGTTAACCGAGTGCTAGGCCTTAGTTGTTGTTTTTAAATAAAATCCTTGTTCCAAGGCTGTTTCAGAATAAATGTGCACAGTTGACATTACCGGGCGCTTCCATAAAGTGAAAATTGTCCATGAGGCAGTAACGCAGCAAATTTTTATTCGTGGTTAATCACATCATGGTAGTTTGTAATTCTTATTTGCCTAATTCTTATTTTTTTGTTACAATTTTCAACGTCTTAACCGGCTCAGATGGTCGATTACACTGTTGGTTCAGTCAAGCCGCGATGAGTTAATATGCATTTGAAATGCTGCTGAAACGCTGTAATTTTTAGGAATTTATTAGAAGAAGAAAAACATTAAGTCAAATGAGTAAACTTTTATTCCAGGTTTTTTTTTCCTTAAAGAGTGAACTATGAACTGTCCATTTTCAGCTATCATGGTACCGGTGCTGTGTCCCTGTCAAGTACAGTACTATGATAACTGAAGATTGGCAGTGCCATCACAAAACACTCTTGTCCTCTTTCAGGTGATGTTGTAGAAACCTAAAAAAAAAAAAAACAGTATATTTGCAAAGACACACAGCTCTAAGGTTTAATGAGTTTAAATTTCTTGTATGTAAAATATAAAAATCTGATCATTAATGCATGAAAACACAAAAAGCTCTCTCTCTGTCTACAGGATCGAGTTCCTGAGACACATCAGAGATTTCTTCCAGATAATGTTCAAAATCGAGGTCCAAAAGCCTTTAGAGGACGAGAGGAAAGGTGGAGATAAAGTTCTCATGACTTGTGTCGGAGTTGGGTATAGCAATATAAACAAAACTGTTAAATAAATTATTATTTTCTACATGTTTGTGTTCTTTTTCTCAGACGAAATTGTGAATAATAGACTTTCTTGCTGCAAATGTTCTGTTCTGAAATCATACTTTTAATAGAAAATAATCAGTTCAATAACTGTGCCTACATGCAGCATCTAGAAAAGATGTGAACATAACTTCTACATCTTAAATGTTTTCCATCACGTTATATTAACCATGTTGTCGTAAAGATCAGCAGCAGCCGGTTCTGGGTGTTCCCTTCTGCTCCACGGTTCGTTTCACTGCTGCTGCTTCAGTCTTGGCCACACAGCATCTTCAAGGCTTGTCCATAATCACCGGACACTTCGGACTACATTTACATTGAGACGGAGGAAAAACAATCAGATTCAGAACTGCCATTCATGTAATATACAATTTCTTAACATTTTTTTTTTTATTATTGAAATGCATTGAGATCTCAGATCATACAGAAACTTGGTGCTCTTTAAAATCCAACAAAGTTCAGTCAGGTCATCTGGATTTTTTTAAATTTTTATTATTGAAGTGTTTCATCTTTCATCCAAAGGACTTCATCAATCCAAGGAGCCACAAACAAACTGTCCCACAAGCAGCACATTCCCACAGTTTGTGGCTCCTCAGATTGATGAAGTCCTTTGGATGAAGGATGAAACGTCTCCAAAAAAAAAAAAATCCAGATGATCTGACTGAACTTTGGAGTTTTTTAACCTGGATTATTGAGCAAGAACTTTGATGCTTTTTAAAATGTTTGAGCATCTTTTTCCTGTTTTACTCCCACCAGGTCAATTTTATCTCTATGCATCCTTTGTCTCGTCTCTTTTGCTTTTCGTCCCGTTATGCATCATTTGTCTTTTTTACCTCTTTATGCAACCTTGTTGTCTACATGTGCTTTTTCCATCTTTGCTTTTTTCTGTCGATCCACTTCAGCTAATTTCAATACTTAACACTATTTTCACAAAAAAAAAAAAGTTTTCCCACCAATAGTTCACTGACCTCTATCTGGGAGTAGAGGGAACATCCATACAGCTTCTTGTATTCGGCTCTGATGTCCAACAAATCGACCTCAGATCGACTGACAAGAATCCTTGTCAGAATGGACTCTGTGGTTCCTGCACCCTGGTCATAGCACAACATGAGAAAATGGTCACATTATTCAGGTGAAATGGCGTGTTTGTTTTAGTGAGAGCTTTTTAACAGTTCAGTGTACAGAAAGTGAAAAACGTGGCTCAACATTCCACACGACTGCTGACCTGTGCAGTCTGACGTGGCTTGAATTAACTAAACAATCGGGGGATTTTGTTGTTTAGCTGCTTGTTCTGAGCTTCTTGTGAGACAAATGATTTTGTTTACCTTCATGCTCTTGTACAGCCTCTCAGCGAGGTACACAGGAGTGTTTATCACACACTTGACTAGGCAGGAAAAATATGTTAATGGATCTCCGAGGATGAAACCACAAAAATGGATTTAAAATGTTTGAAGCAATTTATTTTCTTACCTACAGCCACTAAAAGTTTCTCCAGGTTTCCAGACATCTCACTCTCGATACTTTCCTGCAGAGTTTTCTTGCTAATGTTCTTGTACTCTACAACAGCTGCCAAAACAAAATAAATCAAGTTACAAAATCCATCAAACTTGAGGATAATTTCTTCTCTTTTTGCTCATACGGATTTATTTTGGCATCCTGTATCATTAAATATATCAAACTACATCAGTAGTGAATGTTTTGAACCCCCAACTCATAAAAATGTTTATATATTGAAGTGTATTGTAATGTTTTACAACCCAAAACTGAAAAGGTTGGAAACTTGCGTAAATAAAAAGAATGCAATAATTAGCAAATTCCATAAAACCATATTTCATTAGTGGAACGTCTTAAAGATGAAAAATATTTAGACTAAAAAGTGTTCTGTTTTTAGAGTAAATACAAAATAGTTTGGAATTTCTTGCTGAAATAGATGTTTCTGCATTGATGATGTGCAAGTTGCTCATTGCAGAGGCACTGATGCACCCCCATACCATCAGAGAGGCTGGCTTTTTAGTTCTACCGTTAAGACAGATGGTCCCTCTCCTCTTTAAGACAGATGTGGGTTCAGTTTCCCCAAAATGTACATTTGTCTGAGCACTAAACAGTTTTCTATTTTGCCTCAGTCCATTTTAAATTTTGATTGTCTGTCCTAACGTGCATTTCTGCCATGAAATTCAAAATTAAAATTTTATTGCACTTTTTTTTGGGGGGGGTGTGGGGGGTTAAACATTCAACATTATGCTAATACCATGTCATTGCATTGTGTTTTTCACAACATGGGAACTTTGTCGGAATTGGTGATGTACATTTTTACCACATCAGCTCCAAGTTTATGATGTTTACGTGTAAATCAAAGATGGTTACTATAAGCCAGCTGTGGCTGGGAGTGAATGCAGATGTTAGCCTCTAGCGCTGAGTATCATTAGTCCTTAAAAGCTGCAAACAGGCCTATAAATTATTAATATTGTTTATACTATTTGCTTTTACTAAATAAATAAAGACCCACTCTGCCGAAGCTGAGGAATACTCCTGTGGCAAAGGATGTCGATAAACTTCTGCTCATCGGTTCCCCACTTCTTCTCTCCGGCTTCGTACAACGCCTGTGTGAAAGAAGTATGAAAATTAGATGCAAAGCTGCCGTATATGAAACAGGAAACGAGCAGGAATACATCAAGTCTAATGTGTGCAACCACAACAACACAAGCTGCTGTCGGTAGAGTCCGTGACAAAAAAATAAATAAATGTAGAAGTCGATAAAATCATTAGTTATTTAAAAATGGAAAGTAGACCTTAGCATCTGCTTTAGCTTTGGCAGCGTCCACGTTGGTGCTCTCGTCTCGCTTTCCCTATGAAGATGAACGAGGAACAAAAAAGGTCAACTGACTGAATTTATTTAAAATCCATACAGACGTTTAATTAAATCATAGCAAAGACAAGCTTCAAACGTATCGTAGAAAATAAGATTTACTGATGGGTCTTCTGACAGGTCCTCGTTGGGAGGGTACAACATTGAAGAACATTGAAGGTTCGTATTTAATGCGACCTTCCATTTAAGACTGGCGGTCTCGTCCATGTCCTGATGAGCTTTGTTGAAAAGCCTAACAAGCGTAGGTTAGGCTGATTCTGCAGATTATTTTGTTAGCTTACAATCTGCTCAATTTAATTTAGCTCACAGTTTCAGATCTCACACGACTGACCAATACAAGGCGAGGTCTGAACAAAGCCAGGCTTATTCTGGCAGATCCCGATCACCACTCCATGGTGAGTTCATGTCGCTTCCATCTGGACGCAGGTATCTCCAGGCCAGATGTAGGACAAATAGACTGAAAAACTCATCCCTGTAGCCATCAGGCTTCTCAACAAACTGGTGATTTCATGCATTATTAATGTCAACGTCTTGTCTAGTATGGATGTTTTGTGTGACTGACTAAAACAAATTTCCCCTTGGGGGTAAAAAAAAAAAAAGATACTTGAACTTGAAACTATATTTGCTGGGACTTTTCAGCAGGTTGACCCATGTATAAGCAAATCTAAATATTCCGATGCTGCATTTTTTTTTTAAAGATATGTTAGCGCTGTGTTTCCTGTTGCGCTTTTGGGGACTGCTGCTTCGTAGCATTTTTTTCATTTTAACGTGCATACCTCAGCCAAGATGAGCAGAGCTTTGCCAAAATCTCCAGACACCTCCGACTTCATGTCGAGAACCAGCTGTCTCTTAGTTTCTGGAAAATAAAAATCAGAACGACACGCCGAGTTTTACTGCTAGCAGCAATTTCACAGTAAATATGGCAGTTATTACACAACACATTCGGTTAGCAGACGGGAAGTTCCCGTTAGTGTCCGAGCAGTTTACCTTCCAAATACACGTCAGAAAGCGCCTTGATCTGTCTGTTGGATCTCGAAGCAAATATTTCTATCAGGGTACCCTCTGTGGTTCCTGCACCCTGTTTGTGAACATTTTAAAATTACAGGTGAATACATAGTCAAACTAAAATATAAATATTAAAATTAAGTTTTGCATTTTTGAAAACCAAACTGAAGGCCAATGAATGAAATCTGTAATGGCTGTGTTGTTTTGTTGCTTCTTGTATTATATATTTTTGTACATTTAGCCAAACACCTTCAACCCTCCTGCTCCCCTTGGGTCAAAATGACCCAACAGGTCTCAACCTTGTGGGTCATTTTGGCCCAAGGGCAGCAGGAGGGCTAAGACTGTGCCTACAAAACAAAAACCTCCCTGAAAATCATGACCTGAAGTCTCGTCAGTCCAAAGACCTGCTTGGTGTGCAAGTCTCACCTTCATGGCCTTCATGACTTCATGACAGTCATAGGCAGCAAGAGGTGTTGCCAAGGCAACAAGCATGTCCTCAAAGTCTCCTTGAGTGTCGCCCTTCAGATCAGCTATTAATTTCTAATAAAGAAATACAAAATACTCACTTCAGGCTGAGTTTGTCTTTAATAATGACATCACGTCTAACAAAAAGTGCTGTCATTTACCCTTCCTGTGGTTTTTTCATAGGCCTTGGCAATAAGCTGACGCTGAGCATCGTTCCTCTGGGTCAGAACCTCGATCAGGGTCTTCTCTGTGGTACCTGTGAAGACAAACACAAAAACTGTGCATCCTTATACAGAAATGGTAGAAAGTGTTTGCTTTAAAGCCTATTTAAAAAGGACACGGTTCCGTATTTAGTGGAACAGTTTTGCACTAGTGCTACTTTAAACTAAAGGCCCATCATTCCACAGGAACGCAAACAGGATTCTAGGATTTTTTTTTATTGTCATACCAGCTCACATTTGTATGTTTGTGGTACGAAATTCGGACGCAGGTCCCAGATCAAGCCTAACAATTAACAAGTGCAACTCGAGTTCAGCAGTCTGACAGCTGCAGGGGTCTTGCTCTGAATGCTCCTCAGCCACCTGCTTGAGGGGAGGGGCTGGAACAGACTGTGTGCAGGATGAGTGGAGTCCTTCATGATGCGGAGCACACTCCCCCTGCATCGTGAAGTGTAGAGGTCCAAGGTGATGGGAAGGCCCTCTGCAGAGCCATCCTCTCAGCAGCAGTGCAGCTGCCGTGCCACACGGTGATGCAGGTGCAGCGAACGCTCTCCACCACACATCGATAGAAGCTCCTCAGGACAGAGCTCCCAATCAGATGCTCAAACCACCTCAAATGACTCCTTTCAGTGTGAAGGAGCAGCGGCTCTACTCCGAGCTCCCCACAGATGATTGAGCTCATCGAATCCAGCCACCCGACAAATGAAGCTCTTTTCGGCCGCTTATATCCAGGATCTTGTTAGTCATGATCCAAACCTCATGAGGTGCGGGTTGAACAGACCAGTTAATCAAAAGCTTTGCATTTCAACTCTTTCTTCACCGTGACCAACCAAGGCAACGCGCTCCATCCTACCATTACTTGGTGAACAAGACGCCCAGATACTTCTCCACCTGAGGCAAAGACCTCCTTCGACCCGATTCCGATCGAGAACGCAAACAGTTAATGCCAAATGTTTCATGAAAAATTGTACGCAATGTTTGCTTTGGGATGATGCCCGGGCGAGCAATAAAAAAGTGCTGATAATAGTTATTGACTCACCCAGACCCTCCATGGCCTTCCTAAGAGCAGCAACATCTTCTTCCACCTTAAAGCCTGCCTTCTCCTTCACAGTTCCTCTCGTGTTGGACTGCAAACACGACAATCAAAGCAAAAGTAAACCTACACAAGAAAAACACGGAAAATATAAGAAAAAGCTCCAACATACTGTCAAGGTCAGAGAGGAGGGGGAGTCCAAGAGCAGGTTCAAGTCATCCTGCAAAAAATGAGCTTAAATTATCACCAGTTATTTCTTATATTTGGAGCAAATATATTTATTTGAAAAAGAAACTCACCCAAACAGACATTTTTTGCAGATGTGGAGAGGTTTTATACTGAAAAGATGAGAAAAAGCATGAAAGATCAGCAATTTTGCTCCAGTATTCTGCTTATATATTAAGTCTGTATGCGTAAATATGAACAAATCGTAGAAAATCCAACATCTATACTGATTTCCTTGAGAAATACAAGGAAGGAAAAAAAAAAGACGTCGACGAAAAAACCCGGAAACAGTTTATTATAACAAAACGTGGAGCGCATGCGGACAAAACGGACGGATCCGCGCGATAAACACCGGAAAACTGCGTTTGTTCTTACCTTTGTGAAAAGATCGGATGTCGGGAAAGAGAGAGGTTTTACACTGAACACAAGCTGCCACACCTTTCAGAGAAGTTTGGGAAAACAACGCCCATTTTACTGGAGCAGGAGGAGCAGGAGGAGAAGGGGGTCTCTGCAGACCAAAAGTGGGCGTTTCTGGCGAATAGGCGTTTATGGGCGGCGAACACTGATTGGCTAACAGTATTTAATAGGCGTTTGTCGGCGGCGAACACTGATTGGCTGTGGGTAACCCTCAAAGTCACGAGTCATTGATGAGGTAACGTTTCTTTGCGATATTTGACAAAGAAATATGGTTTATTGTACTTATAAAGTATGTTATGTTTTCACTTATGCATTTTATTGAAGTACGTTTATTGTAGGTCACGATAGTTTCGACCGTTCTCTCGTTGTTGTCGTAACGCACTGAGGTAAAGTGAGCCTCCACTCGGCTCCTTTTCAAAATAAAAGCTGAAAATAAAAGTTCTTAATACTTGAAAAATAAATATTTAAAAGCTGTGTATAACTGAAAAATATGAAAAATAAATAAATAAATAAAAGTTGTTATTAGCTGAAAAATAAATAAATAAAAGCTGTTAATTATATCTATGTCTTTCTGCCATGTCAGGGACCTCTCTCACTTCAGACTGACTCTAGAAGACCCCAAGATGTTGCCCAACAATGTTGACCAACATCTGATGTTGACTTTCATTACTCAATAATGAGTAATAACTTATTCAATAAAAAGTCTGTAATTTGTCAATAATAGTCAATAATTCATTCAAGAATAGATTATGGGTGTTTGGTATGGCTCAGTGGCTAAAATGGGTTGGATGTTAGAGAAATTACTTAATTTTCAATTACCTGAATGCACAAATTCCTTCATTTATAGTTAAACTTTAGGAAATCAACTTTTTTTTTCTTGTGAAAAAAATATCAAAATTAACTTTAAAATCCAATCTCATCATGCAGCATGAGCAACTGGGTATAGGTGTGAGGGCCAAAAGTCTGGTTATGTACTGACTCCTAAATGTGCTTGTTTTCTACTGAAACATGGAGTAGGGTTGACCTTTAAAATGTGAGACAGCTGAGGAAGTTAACCAGTAAACAGAAATACCTGCTCCAGTTGCAGAAATCTTACAGAAACTGACAATCACTCATCTGTAGCGACTGCAGGTTGAACAAGAAAATGTGAAGTTAAAGGAAACATTCTTTGTCCCAAGGCCAGTTTAAGTATCATTAATATTTTTCTTTCTTTATGAATCGATTGTAACTTTGTTCACATTTTTCAACAACCAAAACGGAATTTGTTTTTTTAATGTTATGGCTAGGTATTAAAAAAAAACCTAACATTTAGCTCTCCCCACTACCCAGTTATGTTGCTCTTATTTTGAAATGTAACCGGAAGTTCTGTGTTAAGAGAGTCGAAAAAAGAAGTTATGGAGACGCCGCGGCAGTATACTGGAGCGATGTCGAACCGAGACGCCGCTAATGTCGAACCGGTTAACACCATAGACATAATATGCCTGTGGTTAACACAATCTGCCAATAACGCCTTGTTTTTAGACATCATGTGTCTGTGGTTACGGCATTTTATCGTTCAGCCTTTTTTTTTCTATCGTTCAGCCTTTTTTTTTCTATCGTCCAATCAGATGTGGCCGTCCAGACACGCCTATTTTTCTATCGTCCAATCAGATGTGGCCGTCCAGACACGCCCATTTTTCTATCGTCCAATCAGATCCGGCCGGCCAGAAACGCCCATTTTCCTATCGTCCAATCAGATATGACCGCCCAGATACGCCCACTTTCCTATAGTCCAATCAGATATGAGCGCCCAGATACGCCTTCCGAATTTGCCTGCAGAGACCCCTTCTTGAGCAGGAGGAGGCTGAATCATCAGAGCTCCTCCTCACATGAGGAGCAGCTCTGGCAGAAAGACATTTTCTCTTTATTAATTTAAAAAAAACAGAAGCAGGTTTGAAAGCTTAGTGCAGATAAAAAGCGCATTAATGTACCTTTCAGAATAAAAGCCTAATAAGATTATAATTACAAAGTCCATTACTGAGTCTGTTTTAGTTGTTGTTGTTGTTGTTGTTATATGACGTAATACCGTCCACCATTCTTTTGTAGTTTTTTAATTCAATTCAATTGAAATTGAATAAAAAAATGTATGCGTTTTTTTATTTTTATTTGACCCAGCCCAGTTAATGGGTCCACAGTCGTGATGTTTGTTCTCAGCACAGGAACAAGGATGTGAGTCATAAAGGAGGCCATGAAGCAAATGTTTAATTTATCTTATCTCTCTACTTCATCACTGACATTATGTGGCAATTTCAAACACTTCCTGTTCTGCTTCTTTCCAGGGGCACCACCAAGGGAGGGACCAAGGGGCCCCTTTAAATTTGCTGTCTCCCCTCTCTGGATCCCCCCCTGGCCTGCATGTTAGTGGCCATTTACAATAGTGGATGCAACTGTGCAAGTTATACAAATAATTATGCACTTTTTATTTTTTGTAATATAAATGTGAATGGGGTATTTAATGCAAATGACATAGTTCAAGTTGTGCTTATTTGTCATATGCAAGGTTAACACAGGGTAAACAGTACAATGAAATGCTTAGGATGAGAAGAACCGATTTGACTTGCTAAAAAAAATTAATCAAAGAACAAACAAACAAACAAGAAATACTAAAAGCATGCAATAAGGGTACACAAAATAAAGTACCAAAAAGTGAAAAAGTAATTATAATAAGTATAATGCCCTAAAGAGAGATGGTAAACAACAACATGGTAGACTATAACGGTGCAGCAGGATGAATATGAATGAACAAGTATTTCAAGGTAGTAATAGAAGCTAAAATGCACATGATATATATATACTGCACATAATCAACATACTACACAGGTTGTGTGACAGGTTATTTTGCAGGTAATGACACTGAGGTTGAATTATTAGTTAGTTATTGCCAGTTGTTCAGTGTTATTATCGAGGGTTCAGTAATCTGACAGTTTGTGGATAATAGCTGTCCTTTAGTCTTTTTGTACATGATGACAGACTCCTGTATCATCTGCCTGAGGGTAGTAGGTGGAAGAGTCCTTGTGCTGAGTGCGTGTGATCCTTAATGATGCTGCGTGCTTTACACAGACATCGGCTGTGGTAGATGTCCTGGATGGTGTGGAGACTGCTACCAGTGATGTCCTCCGCTTTTTACACCACCCTCTGTAGTGTTTTCCAGCTCTGACTGGTGCAGGTCCCATACCAGCACGTGATGCAGCATGTCAGCAGGCTCTCAATGGTGCACCTATAAAAGTTGGTGAGGATGCTGGTGTTTGTACCAAACTTCTTTAGTCTTCTTAGGAAGTTGAGTCTTTGTCAGGCTTTCTTGACCACAGTGTCTGTATGTAAAGTCCAGGACAGATCCTCAGTAATGTGAACGCCGAGGAACTTGAAGCTGCTGACCTGCTCCACCTCAGCGTTGTTTATGTTGATGGTGGAGTGCTGGCATGATTGGTTCATAACGGGAAAATTGTTACCATATAACACCATTAATTAAAATCCTGTTAATATAGGGAGAAATGAGAAGATCAAGTCCTAGTATTAATCAGCAGAGAAACAAACAAACAAAAAAATAAGATACAATAAAACCCAAGTCAATGTGTAACAATGGCGACACCTGGTGGTCAGAATACAACATGCAGGCTGGGCATTTTGTTAAGGAAAGCAAATAATTTATAGTTTGAGGTTTGTTTGTTTTTTGCATTTACTCGAGAAAATTAACAAAATACCTATAGTAGTTTTTAAAAAAAGCTGTGTAGGAAACTGTTTTTACACATTTTAAGCTTCCAATTGAACAGTTTTAAGTTTCACAATATCTCGTCATTCGTTTCGAATATGAGCTGACATATATGTTATTACTATGTACATGCTATGTTAGTAAAAGCAAGTAATAGTGTGATAAAACAGAAACTTTCGATCATGTGACCTTATGTCACTGCTCGTTACGTATGTGCATTTGAGTTTTTGTACCCTCAGTACAACCTGTAAGGACACCTTTTGCCATTCAAATAAAAACAAATGACAACCGTGACCTTCCTATACTAAAGGTATAAGTCTTCTTAGATATAACTAATTGAAGAGACAATAATCTAAAGTGGTAAAATTGCCAAAGAGTTAACATTTTACGCGGCGTGGTTTGCCTGCAAAGCAAACTGAGGGTTAAAAATTCCCACGCGCGCCGGGTAGCAGTGTAGCCTGTCTGTTGTTTGACAGCTCGGCACCACAGGCTCGTCGGCGTCGTGTTATCGTCTTTACCGGTTTGGGAGGACTTTACTCGGCAAGGGAAGCACTTCGATATAATTTAGAGTGAAATTTGTTACAACTTACTTATTTTGTTTTACGAGCAAGCCTAATTGCTATAACTAGCTTAGCTAACCTGATCTGAACCGCCCCATTGTTTCACCCTGTCTTGTTTTATTAGTAGCTCTCTTGAATAGAGGCACGTTTTGTTATTTTTCTTTGCTTTACGAGGAAGCAGTGCGCTGTAGCTTGTTTCCGCCATTGTTTACATGGATCCCCTTCATCTGAGGTGCTTTGTTGTCATGATGTGGTCCTAACAAGATTGGATAGAGGAGAACCGAGAGGGAACATGGAAATCTGGAGGTAGCCAAAACTGTGCCATGCCTGTGCCAAAAGAGAGGATGAACTGGGCTCCAAGCTCCAGCTGAGCTGTTTGACTTTTGTGTGGGCGGTTTGGACGAAGACCAGGAGTTTTATTTGTCCCCATTCAAGCTAAATCTTATGTAAGACTCCATGAGGAGGCTACAAGCTGTCTGGAAACTGGGATACACCATCACCATGATGCTGGAGACCCTTCTGGTCTTCGGTCTTCTTGGCTGGGCGAACTGTCTCGAGGGCCAGCGCATGACCCTGGAGGAGAAGACCAACATCAGGTAAAATTTGTTACAGCACACTCACGTGGGTTATCTGTGACTGTGTCTTCTTGATTAATTTGCATTTCATTATTTGGTTTACAGGCACCAGATTGTTGAAATGTTTGACCACGCTTATGGAAGTTACATGGTAAGGGTCACCGTGATGCTGGAGTGGTAATTATGGCTACACTTTTATTTGCTTGTTGTATCAATCCACAGAGGAAGATGAGTCATTGGCGGTCTGGATGAGCGGATATTATTTGTGGGTTTGTGCATAAATTAGATAAGCTGGAATGGATGGGGATGCAGCAGACAGTTTTTATTACATCTCTGATGTTCTGATTTTAGGTCGTGTTGACATCAGACAGAGTTGGTAGCTGTTATATTAACAGAGTACCATATTTTCCGCTGTACACGTCGCACCGCCGTATAAGTTGCATCAGTCCAAATATATCTAATAAAGTGGACAAAATATAAATAAGTCGCTTTGTCGTATAAGTCGCATCTATTATGCGTCACCACTGACAACCCAGAAATGTGGGCCGGTGTTGTGCCAAAAATAGATTGGCGGCCACGGGAGCATGTACGGGAGGACTTTAACAAGAATTTAACACGATAACCACCAAAAAACAATTATTTGTTTGCTTGAATTTATAGTAAAGGTGTGTCTCAGTTGAACTTTTACTTAATAAATGCACTTCAGTGGTCAAATTAGCTGCATTTCGCTGGGGCAGTGCAGCAAAATGAAGTTGACTTGACGGTTGCTCCAGGCATGATCCCAGAGCTGGATGAAGGTGGCCTATATGGCAAGCCGATTGTGTCATTAATAGCTATTTTTACCTATTACGGCATGCCATACTACTCGAGTGCCATCTATGGGCTGAAAATGGTAGTGTTCAATATTTTCCATGTTGGAATGAATGAAAACGGTCATATCTCAGTTAAAAATTGGTTTATAAATATGGGAAGAAAACATAAATAAGTCGCTTCAGCGTATAAGCCGTAGTATGCAAATTAGGCAAAAAGGTGTGACTTATACGCCAGAAAATACGATATGTCTAAGAGACTGATTATAAGTGTTCAGTCTAGGTTAGGTGTCTTCCACTTTTATTTTAAAGAGACATTTTAATCATCTCTTGTGCTTTAAAGGACATATAGCACCACAAACAAAGAATACCATACTAAATAAAAACCTTATTTAGAAATAGTTACTGCCAATTAAAACTATTACACCTTTTTGGCTTAAAATGAAATTATGCGTGTACGTGTGCTGTAGTGTTTGGACTATCAGCCAAATAAAAAACATAAATCTTATCTTATTATATGATCAGTATAAGAACTAAAACACCTTGAGAAAAATAGTGTGTGGCCTTTGTTCTGTCCTCAGTTGCTATTAGACAAAAGTATAAGAAGTGAACCCAACAATATGTAATAGTTGCAGCTGTTGTTGCAGAAACATGCTTACCCGGCAGATGAGCTGATGCCTCTGAGCTGCAAAGGGAGAGTGCGTGGACAAGAGCCAAACAGAGGGGACATCGATGACTCCTTGGGAAAGTAAGAAGTTCTTATAGTGCAATGTCCTGAATCAAAATAATTAGTTTATATGAGCCCAATTTAAAGCCATATGCACTTTTTGAAAAGTGTTTACAACATCTCGCCAGGTTCCTTAGCATTCCTTCATAGGGAGGTGTCACAGATGCTTTCTAACTGACGGACTGAAACTTACTGACTATTCAAAGAAAGAAACGCCATGCTAGAGATCATAGTAAACTTTATTTGCTGTTATGTTGCAGACACTCAGACAGGATGTAGATGCTAAATTAGGCAGATAAAATTCACTTAAACTCCATTAATTAAATACACATAGTACAGTAAATCAATTAGTAAACCACAGGTGGTGCATAATGTTATTTTGCATGAAATGCAAGACGTCTGTCATTGAAAAGTCTGTAATTAATAATAAATTAATATGGATCTGTAGAAAATTAAAGTATAAATAGCTTTACTGTGACCATGTCATAACATTTCTGACTTTTTCTTTCTTTAGGTTTTCTCTCACTCTGATTGACACCCTTGATACCCTGGTGGTGAGTCCATTTTCTCTCATTTTGCTAGCATAGGAAATATTTATGCTGTTTTAAAAAAAACCAAAAAAAACATATTGTCTCACCAGACTATTAATATTATTTGCTAACGAATTTGTTCTTGTCATATGTGTGCGTACGCAGGTGTTAAACAAGCTCGATGAGTTTGAGGATGCGGTGAGGAAGGCTGTGAGGGATGTCCGATTCGACAACGATGTGGTGGTGTCAGTGTTTGAAACCAACATCAGAGTTTTAGGGTATAAAACTTATTTGACATGAAAAAAAAAACATTTTACCTCGTGCATTCATTAAATGTAACTGTATACAACATTTTTTTTTAAGTTGAATTTTTGATAATAAATGTCCAGTGGGCTGTTGGGGGGTCACATTATGGCTGACCTGCTAAGACAGCGTGGGGAGAGGATGCAGTGGTATCGGGATGAGCTTCTACACATGGCCACAGAACTGGGCCATCGATTACTTCCTGCCTTCAACACCACCAGTGGCCTTCCCTACCCCAAGGTAGTTCTTAATTTCTTTTTAACAGGTCTTATTTAAGATGTACCGTATTTTTCGGACTATAAGGCACACTTAAAATCCTGGAACCGATTTTATGTGGTACAATTGAACAATGTTGAGCGTTACTGTGAATGAGCAGAATAAAGTTCGACTTATCTGACTGTTTGACTTATTGTGCCTTATGTATGAAAACAGACCCGTTCATTGATATTGCGTCTTATAATCCGGTGCGCCTTATAGTCTGAAAAATACAGTACAAGTCTGCTGTGAAAGAGCTGAATAAATGTTTTTTTTTTCCTGTGTTTAGAGCTCAGTCCAATCCCCAAATATGTTTTGTTCATTAGGTGAATCTGCGGTATGGCGTGTTCAACCCACTTTCACGCACAGGCACTGAGTCAGACACTTGCACCGCGTGTGCCGGGACAATGATCCTGGAGTTTGCTGCTCTCAGCAGACTGTCAGGAAAGTCAGTGTTTGAGGTATTATCATCCTCTAAACAGAGTTCTTTCAATGTTTATTATGAGTTTAACTGTGTGTAATTACTGCAGTGTGAGATTAGTACAGTCTGCCTTAGAAATTATAGCTTATTTTTAACTAAATGAATACTGCATGTATGGTTTTACCACAAAATTAATCTTAGATGACTTTTGTTTATTATTGTTTGACAGGAACATGCGAGGAAAGCTTTGGATGCCCTCTGGGAAAGGAGACAAAAAGGAAGCGACTTGGTGGGGACTGTCATCAATATCCACAATGGAGAATGGATCCGGAGAGGTAAAACAGCAGAAATACATTTACCGTATTTTTCGTCGTACACTGCTCTGCCCTATAAGTCGCATCAGTCCAAATATGACTAATAAAGTTGAAAAATCCATAAATACATTGCTTCGCCGTAAACGTCGCATCTGTTATGTGTCACCGATGACTACCCGGAAAGTGGGCCGGTGTTGTGCCAAAAATCGATTGGCTGCCAAATGGCGGTCGCTGGAGCATGCACGGGAGGACTTTAGCAAGAATTTAACAAGATTAACACTTAAAAACAATTATTTGTTTGCTTGAAATTATAGCAAAGGTGTGTCTCAGTTGAACTTTTATTAATAAATGCACTTTAATGGTCAAATTAGCTGCATTTCGCTGGGGAAGTGCTGCGAAATGAAGCTGATTTGACGGTTGCTCCAGGCAGCGAGCAGAACGAAGGTGGTAGGTTATGGCAAGCCGATTGTGTCATTAAAAGCTGGTGAAGATTCTCAGTCATCCAGGATATGGTAAATTCAAAAAAGTTCAAGACAAATACAATAAAGTATAAAGTAAAGTATAATAAATAAAGTCCAGTTGATTGAGTGCCATCAATCGGCTGAAAATGGTAGTGTTCAATTTTTTCAGTCAGAATGAATGAAAACTGTCATATCTCAGCCAAAAATTGGTTCCAAATCCATAAATACATGGCTTCAGCGTATAAGTCACAGGGCATGTAAATTATTCAAAAAACTGAGACTTATAGGGCGAAAAATACAGTAGTTAAAACTGTCAGTAAAAGCACAAAAATAACCCTGTAGTTCCTTCTGTTTCCATAAAAGCTATTATAATGTGACTGAATAATTGTGGTTTGATAGTTTTTACATTTTGTGTTTGCAGAGAGTGGAGTTGGTGCTGGAATTGACTCGTATTATGAATACCTGATGAAGGCCTATATTCTTCTTGGAGATGATGTTTTCCTGCAGAGGTTCAACATCGTGAGTCGTCCATTAGTAAACTATATTCTACCATTTTGGCCCCGGCTGTCTTGTTTTTCCTGCCGCACAATCGTTTGCAGACACTTTATTGTTTTATGTTGCAGCCTTTCAATAACTTTGATGCATTTTCCATCTTGTCTGTAACAGCACTACAGTGCCATTATGAAATGCATCAGTCAGCCTCCCTTGCTGCTCAACGTGCACATGCACAACCCCACTGTGAGCGTGCGCAGCTGGATGGACTCCCTGCTCGCGTTCTTCCCTGGATTACAGGTCAGATATAATGTTTAACAAGAGGCGCTGCATTAATTACACTTAAATTTGAAAATGACAAAGGGAAATGAATGTTTTAAACTTTTTTTTAAGTGGCATTTATTCATTGTTTAAACAGGTTTTGAGAGGAGATCTGAAACCAGCTATTGAAACTCACGAGATGCTTTACCAAGTCACTAAACTGCACAAATTTCTTCCAGAGGTAAATAATTTTCTTGATTTCTTCCGTATTTATTACCACATAGAAGGGAAAGTTGATATATTTATTACAAAGCATTAAATATGTCACATTCATGATGAATATAGTCTTTGTATTATGTGATTGTGTACACTATTAGTAGGTAATGTCATGTTAGAGTAATGTCAGAGTTAAAGAACAATTTGTGCACATTTGTCCTTATTTCTTTGTAATTCTGGTCATCATTATCAATTTTTACAAAGTTCAGTTCTTTCTTTCGGTCGGTATTCCTGCAGGCTTTTACTACAGAGTTCCGAGTTCACTGGGGCCAGCACTTACTGAGACCAGAGTTTGCAGAAAGCACCTATTACCTCTTCAAGGTACAAACCCTTAAAAACTGTACAACATATTTTTCTCACCATACTGATACTTTTTAATATGTTGGACTGAGAGTATGTTTTGATATGTGCAGGCCACTGGTGACCCGTACTACCTCAGAGTGGGACAGTCCATTGTGGAAAAGCTCAACGCCTATGCCAGGGTGCCTTGCGGGTTTGCTGCTATCCAAGACGTCCGCACCGGAACACATGAAGACAGGTTAGACAATCTGCTTCTTAACTAAGCTTTTAAGGGGAAATAATATCGTATCTGTCTTATTAACATTTCCACATGTGTGTTTGTTTTTGTACAGGATGGACTCCTTCTTTCTGGCCGAGATGTTTAAATACCTGTACTTAATGTTTTCGGAGAAGAGCCAACTGCCGATCGATATTGACGACTACATCTTCACCACAGAGGCTCACCTTCTGCCCTTGTCCCTCTCCATCACTCAGGCACCCATTCAGCCCAACATTACAGTAAGAGCTTTTCCTTTAAATACAAACAGACTCTTATCAGATTTTGAAAAGGGGATATGTGCTTTACATACAATGCACCCTGCATGAAGTGACAGATATTACGTTAGTTAAATATTTATTTAAGTGAATCCTGTGCTTTAGGAAGAGACGCCTGCTTCTCAAGATGACGATCTGTTCACAAACTCCTGCCCCAGCACAGAGACGCTGTTCCCCAACAACCCCTCGTTTGCTAAAACCATCAGGGACGGCTACAAATACCTCACTGGGGTGGGACGGGCCTTCAGGTCTTTACCTGCCAGGTGGGACTAATTCCATTAAAAATCTGTGCTATAGTTATGCTTAACATATAAAAAACTGGGTTTTATGCTTTATAGGGAAATCGAACTACCACTCCACGATAATGGCATGGAACCAGTGGAGTTTCTGAAGAGCATGGGCATCTCGCTCACCTCCCTGAGAGAGATGGCTGTAGGAGACGCCAAAAATCAAAAGGTACTTTTAGATATTTGTACAGTTGTGCAAGTCAGCATACTGGATTCAAATAAACACAATTTATTTATTAGGTTGAATTCAAAAGAACAAATGAGCTTTTAAGTTTTTGAAATTTCCTAAAATAAAAGTATTAGATGATGGAAAAACAACAAAAACAGCTATTACCACTACTAGAATAATTTAAATTAAACAAGGAGCAAAAAGCACAAACAATAATATCGGGACTTAAGATTCTCTGAAGGTCTCTTTGGTTAAAGATCCTGGCATCACAAATTAAAATGAGGGACAACTAGACTTTATGTATATGTGGATTTATTTACACTAATTACACTACGTACCTCTCATGATATTAATAGAATCAATGGTTATAATGTCACAGACTATTATTCCAGATATGGTCTTTACATCTCGCTACAATAAAAGTGAAATATAAACAAACTTATTTGTTGTTTGTATTAATTTTGTCTACACCATTCAAGATCCGAGCCAAATGTAATAACTTGTTTTCTTTCTATTTTGGCAATTACTGTCCATGTTTGTTATGTTTAAGTAAAACATGAGGATATGAGTTTGTATAACATTAAGTTTATTGTGAAGCGGGAAAAGAGGAAACATGATTTATTCAACAATGGCATAATGGCAAAGTTCTGTTTAAGTTAGTGAATGTACTCCTTTCAATTTGGCGAAGTCATTGTTTACTATCTGTTTGGCTGAATTGTTCCCTGCAGGAGCAGAAAGGAATGTTCCGGGTGAAGCTTGTTGCAGAAATAAGACCGACACCAGAGGAGGAGGAGGAGGTGGTACCTCATGCCGTCCAGCTCATTTCTCCTCCATTTCTAGGTCGGACAGTCCTCACTGCAGGACCGGCAAAGTTCGGAATGGACCTCACTAAGCAGGAGCATGGGGTAAAAACATGGCATTGACACAAAATATTAAGATCTAAAAAAAAAAAAAAAATCTTTAATTAAAATAAATACAAGATTTATTTTTTTCAAGTTTGTCCCATTTCCTGAAACATGCTTTATTTTCACAATATATCTGCTCACAAGCAACAATAACAAAAGTACAAAAAATAACCTCTTGTGCCACAGGTGAAGGGCAGAATAGAGAAAGCGTCTCCCTATAATGCATGTGGACCGGTGGATAATGCCGCGGAGCTTAAAGACTGCATCGCTCTGGCTTTACGAGGAGACTGCATGTTTGCTGCAAAGGCTCGGTGGCTGCAACAGGCAGGAGCCATAGGAGTTATCTTTATCGGTGAGAACCAGAATTATTGTCGCTCGCTGCCCTTAAAGGTGGGCAATAATGTAATTATATGTATCTGTGTGTGTTTGTCTAGAGAAATTTCTTGCAACCCACTAGACTTAATGGAATTCTCAGAAAGCAATCGCTGGATGTATCGCTTGGAGTCAACCCAGTTCAAAATGGCTACTACAGCTAATTAAACTTTTAATACTAAAGAATTGTCATAATAATTTAGTTGAACAAAATTGAGCTAACGTTTGTTCTTGTATTAGCTGAGCATGATTCCCAACATACAGTCTGAGCACTTAAAGCTGGCTTGTAGTCCACAAGAAGTGTCGAAGTTGTGTCTCGCTGACATGGATGTGTGACAAAGATGTCATATTTTCCTACTTGCATTTCCCCCAGTCAGAACTAGTTTCTTACAGGAAATGCGCTGAGCATTGTGCGATTGGTCAAGAGTTTGTGGGCTTGTTTTTTATGAAAAGTGGCTGCAGTTTGCTGCTTTTTCATTAATTCTTTTTTCATTCAACCTTTATTTATACAGGCTAGCCTCATTGAGCCACAGGGACTCATTTACAAGAGGGACCTGTTCCAGACAGAACATATAAAGTACAGACAACAATAACAGTAGACAATGACAACAATAAACTACAGTAAAAATGCAGTTAAAATAAGAGTAGTGTATAAAATGATAAATCAGGGTGCCGTAAAACAGAGTAAAATACTAAAAACAAGAACATATTTGCTTTGATTTTTCTACTGACATTATCAAATGTTTGAAACCCCTTAAAGAAATCAAGGTGGACAGCTTCAGTTCCTGTTGCAAGGTGTTCCAGGTTGCAGGAGCTGAGTAGGAAAAGCCTTTTTGCCAAGGCGTTTCTGTTCTCTATGAGAAAAGCATCTCCTGAGGAGTAACTTGACGAGGCCGTTAGAAAATACAGCCGTCATGACAACTGCTCCAGCAAAAATTATTAAGATAGTCAAAAAAAAATCGAATAAAGATAGTCAAAAGAACTTGTGGAAGGAGATAAGATAATGTTTGTGCATGCAGGAGACAGCACGTAACTGGCAGCTCTCCGAGGCTGTGCTGTCCGGAGGGAGTGATCCTCGGTCGGGCAGCTTTGGGACACTTTTCTGCATCATCTATCGGGAACAGTGGTGGTCTCTTTGTGACAAATTTATAAAATATTGCCTCTCATCGGTTAATAACAGAAATACCAGGTCTATTTATTTATTTATTTATACTTTTGCATGCAGAATATACAGGAATACCAATCTCTTTTCATTCAATCAACCTTTATTTATACAGTTTAGTCTCATTGAGCCACAAGGACTCATTTACAAGAGAGACGTGTTTTAAACGAACACAGATGCAGATACAAACAACAATAGACGATCATTAAAAACACATCAAATGAAAAAGTAAATTGAAGAAATGAAATAAAAATGAAACAAAAACAGATCTGTTATAAAGTGGTGTAAAATACGAAAAACAGGAACATGTCTTCATTGGTTTTTCTCATGAACTTAGTAGATGTTTGAAGCCACTTAGAGAGGTCAAGGTCAAGAGCTTCAGATCTTTTTGCAAGATATTCTAGGAAACAAGAGCAGAGTAGGAGAAGGCCCTTTTGCCTAGTTCAGTCTGCACTGAGGGGACACTGCATGTCCTGAGAGCGCACGCTGTAGCTGCACTCACGTAGTGACGTGTAGGAGATATATGAAGGCAACAGACCAAGAAGTGATTTCAAGATGAAAATGTATCAGTGAGAGAGTTTGTGTGAAGTTAATGATGACCAATTGACTAATGAATACAGGGTGCAGTGGTGGGTTACGGTAATTACAGCCAGTTATGAATCTTAGCGCACCATGATAGACAGCATCCAACAAGGTGCTTGTAGGAGCATTCATGTAAATGTCACCGTAGTCAATGGAAGGAAGGAACGTTGCAGTTACAAGACGTTTTCTAGCGTTCAGAGTTAGACAGGATCTACTTCTGTAAAAGAAACCCAGTTTTACTTTCAATTTCTTTACCAAGTTTTTGAAATGATGCTTAAAGGAGAGATGTGCATCAACCAAAATACCCAAGTATTGGTAAGAATCGACAAACTCAAATCTGACAAATCTGACTGGATGGTGTCGAACGCAGACTGTAAGAGCTGGAAAACCTTAGCAACTTTTTTAGATCAACAATAAACAGCTGTGTCGTCGGCATAGAAATGTTAAAATGCATCAGGAATGATCTGACCTACAGTACATTACTTATGTAGATAGTGAAGAGGGTGGGTCCTAAGACTGAACCTTGTGGTACACCATTGTTAACAGATATCTGGAAGAAGTACCATTATGTAAAAAATAGTGTTCTCAGGCTTACTGAATTCTGAGTTCTGGACCTCACAGAAATTAATTCATCTGAAATGTCTCCTCGTTGCGCAGATCACCGTGAGGGAAGTAACAGTGAGGAAACGCCCCTCTTCCAGATGGTTGGAGACGGGGAGTCCTCTGAAGACATTACGCTGCCGTTAGTCTTTCTGTTTAGCCGTGAGGGCGCTGTGCTCACAGCTGCGCTGGAGGAGCATCGCAATGTGGACGTGCTGCTGCTTCCACAAGACCGGCAGCTTGGACACGGTGAGGACAAGGAGAAATAAATGGTCTAATTTTATTTTCATGCTACTTTACTTGTAGTTTGTTGTTGACCTGCCATAAGTTATATTTAATGTTTAAATATGTTTAGGCATTAATAAAATTGGTAGCTGAGAAGATGAATTACTGTTAAAAGTCTGCAACAAAGCTGATACAACACTGAAGTTTATTTCCTTATTTTAGCTGTTGTGCAGAAAACATTTGTTCCCAGAATTGTTGTCAACACCCCCACCCCCCTGCAGGATGTGAAACTTCAGTTGGGGGATCTTCACAATCGGAATCAGAATTAGCTTTATTATCATTGTACCGAAATACAGTGAAAATATGTTCGTACAGCCGTCCGAAAGATGAGCAGAGTGCATGTTGCCACTGCTACTGGAGCACGGCCCCTTATCCTTTTCAGAATATTTTTTTTAGATAGAAAAGGGGAAAAAGCATGAGGAGAGGATAGTGACATTACAAAAAAGATCTTTTCACACCTTGTCCTATCAGGACATGATTTAAGACATCAAAAAACTCTGCCAGCAAGCACATTTATAAACACGTTACATATGCATTTGCTGGCAAGACGGTGAAATTTGTCCATGTAGCACTTCCATATAGGCCGTAGTCCTGATAAGATGTTGATCAGCAGGCAAAGTTCTGATAAGCCTCCACAGAAGTTCTCCGGAGTGTTGGGGGGGTGTTGCGATAGATGAAGCTTTCCCTTAGTTTACACATATCCCAGGAGAAATTTGATAAGTCGTCCTGTTTCCGAGGCCAACCGGGGGAGTCAGATTCAGATCAGCCACAATTGTTGATTTTTTTCAGGCAGACTGGTTTTTCTTGTCAGCCTTGAGTCCTGCTGGAACTTTCATCTTAGTGGGCATTCAACTGGTCTGTGCTTACGAGCCTCCTCCAAGGTCGTTTCCAACATGCTGGTGGATCCCAAAGCCGCAGGTGGCCTGCAATTCTCACAAATCGCTTCCATCTTATGGTTTAGCTCATAAATCAGCTGATTTTGGGTCCTTGAAGCACGAACCAAACCTTCACAAGGCAGGCAGCCTGACGAGGACCAAATTAGCTGCAGCCGTCTTCTTTGTATGTTGATAGACCAGGAACCAGCCGATTCCAAAAAGCAGGAAGCCTGTTATTATAAATCCGATTCTATATGTCTTCGGCGTCCTCTGAGACAGAACGGAAAGACGCATCAGCTCCCACATTGATGACGTATCCTGTAGCGTGAGTCTCAGCGGGACATGAGGGCTCTCCAGGACCCTGTCGCTTTGTTGAAAAGATTTTGTCGATTGCGTTGAAAGTCCAGCTGATCAGATCTATGACAGTAGTTTTCGTTTCGTCAGATGTGTAAAATAGGAGCTCCGATACACAAATGGAGAGCAAAAATAAGCGGGAGACGAACAGGAGAAGGAAGAAAAGGTGTCCATCTTCCACAAGAGCGAATGAGAGAAAAAAAGGATTTCTAGAAATTCGATGAAATTTAAAAAAATATTTCACCCCAAGAGTAACAACAACAGTAATTTTAAATTTTTTAATTTAAGTTTTAAACCCAACAGTAGTTTTAAATTGATAAAAGCAGTACTGTTGATGTTCAAGCCGTTTGTGTTGTTACTCCTTTATTGTTTAATTGGTTTATTAACAATGCTAATATACTTTAACACGTTTTTATTATGTGGGGGTCACAAATATCTGCTATTGTTTTTTTCAAGGTCATTAGATGAGAAAATTGTTGCTTAGAAAGTGTTTGTGATGCAACACTAAATTTTCAGGTGAGAGAAAGTGAAGGAAAGTATAAATTTGTAATCCATAAAAGAAAATTATTTTTAATGTTTAGTTGCAAATAGTATATTTGAAATGCCTGCAGCATGTTTGTATCCAAAGTCATCAGTCTTCTTCCTCCTTGTATCTTTGATTGCTTTAGTGGGGCATTTTGAGGTGAAAACTAATTACTAGTCAGTTATATCCATTTAATTTGGACTTTAAAAAGAAAATAGGTGGTTTTGCACAAAAGGTGATCACTTTCACAGATATGAAAGGAAAAATCTGCAGAAATGCTCATTTCTTTATATGAAACCTGCATGTTTTCTCTAAAAACTGAAAATAAAGGACTTGTTGTTTAAAGATGCATCTCTCTTACCTGATCTTCTAATTATGCTTTTATTTTTTTTGTCCAGGTAAAACACAAAAACCCATCAGTATGAATATAAAACTCCGTCTGACAGAGGAGGGGGAGCTGGAGGAAAAAGCATCAAGAGGCCCGACCTTGGAGTTTGTTTTGGAGAACGAAGAGGTGCTTATTCGTGAGGCGGGAGGAGAAGAAGAGCTCCGAGAACAACAGCAGGTCTGCTCACAAGCAGCAGAGGATGGCAGAACTGAACCGTGTTCTGCAGACTCAACGCAAAGCTTGAACTCGAAAACCGAACCACATCCTTGACACCGTTTTGATTGAGCAGCATGTGGCCCAGATCCCCGTCACTGTCCTGCAGCACATCTGAACAGCTAGCAGTTAACAACTAATGAACAGGAGTCCCACATACGTCCAGACTTATCTTGAACTTGAATACGTGTTCATATTTATGAGGCAGTCTGTGGTGATTCTGTCCAGATGTTTTTTGGCTTCCAGAGACCAAACTAAGTTTTAATGGGCCAAAAAACTGACGGTCAGGAGGGATAAGTTGCTGCTACCGAAACGTTGCTCATAACTACAGGTCCATGATGAATTTATATTCATCCCACTCTAGATAGAAGCATATAAAAGCCCCTACCCCAAAAAATATATGCAATGACTTTTGTTTTTTATTTAAACTGCACCTTTTCACTTTAATAAGTGGACTATTACCTGGCGGTAATAGGTGGTAGCTGCCATGACTCTCAGCAGCAAAATGTTTGTTGAAGAAGATAAATGGAGCTAATTTAAGAAAGTTTGTTTTGAACTAGTTAGAAACTTCAGGGAAATTTAGGTATGAATGCAGTTTGCAAGTTTGATCCATTTCAAGAAATGTTGGTGTGTTTTGCTTTTTTTCTTTTAAATATATTTGAGCCTGAGTGTGTTTGTGTGAGAGCGAGCGTGAGGTCTAGAATAATTATAAAAAACCCCACTCATGCAAGAAATAAAATTTTAGGCAACAATGTGTGTCAAATTAAGGCTGGATGTTTTAACACATACTGTAAATTGTAAGTCGTCAAATTGATTGAAGAGTTTGCAAAAAGCAATTTAAACGTTTGTTTTTCCTTGCAAGCAGATAATTGGAGTTGTGGCTCATAAGACGTCACAGCTGATCTGCTGCTTTGCACTTTGAAACCCTGACGGGACCGATTACGGCCGATTCAAACAAAAATGACCCGTCGTTTCTTTTTGTTTGGAATAATTGAATTGGAAGTGGTTATTTACTCTGTTACAGGGTGTGCTGTTTATATCCACCTTGAATAAATTTAAAATGTATATTGGATGTTAATATTTTCTAACCTTTAGGATTTTCAGAGTTCTGCGAGGTTTTGGATAAGAACATTGTTCCAAAAGGTGGAGTTGAACATTTTTCTGGATGCGTTCTGGATTTCCATGTGCTCATTACCTGTTTTTGTAACGCTTCACACATTGTAAACTATTTTCACAAGCATTGATTTTCATTTAAGAAAAAAAGAAAAAGTGCAGTCACTTTCTGTTGCCTATCTTTGCGCTCACCTGTGGGTTGAAAGATTATTTTTTTTCTGTTACACCTAGAAATTAGAGCTTTGTCAAGAGAAAACCTATGCCAGAACATGTTTCTTCTTGTGGACCATTTTCTAATGCTGCTGATCTGATGTTGTCATAGGTCTTAATCCAAAATGTTTTATATTTTGTTAGACCTATAAATTAGCCAAACTGTATACCTCAGGATTGTGTGCATAACTTTTCACTCTGATAAAAAGACCACAAAGAGGAAACCGATGATTCAGTTTGATATTTTTCTTATTTATTATTGTGTTCAGATGTTTGTCTGTCAGCTGCAAATGTCTGCAGTGGTTTTGGATGTGAGCTGATGCAGGTAATACATTTTATAATCATAATTTTCACCTCTTTAGCCATTTTTTAAATAAAAAAATAAACACATTTTAAGTGAAATTAAAAAGATGCAATTTCCCTTTGGCATTTTATTATAACTTTCTCCCTTTTTTGGTCTTAAAGATATAGCACACTAAATTTTTATTTAATATTTTATATTAACTGTATCTGTACTTGAACTGAAATAGTCCAAGAAGCTTTGTGATGAGTGTCATAAATGAGAACGCAATGAGCATATCTGCATTGGGTTGTGTTTGATGAGTACAATTTTCATCATAGTTCAGTGATTATTTGATTATAGGAGCATAACGTCACACGTTTTTGCTCCAGATTGCAAAAACCGTAAGTGATGACACTGATTATGATTATATTTTATGCCAGTGAAGCTGCTGAGAAATGACAAACCAGCCTCACAACATTTGAAATGACTCATAAACATTTTCTGTGTTCTTTTTTGAAAAGGGACCATGTGAGTGTTTCCAAGTTTCCACTGTGCCTCAAATTTTTCATTAATAGACTTGTTTTATAAAACCAAATGCATAATTTATAATTATTAGATATTGTAGATGAATTTCAGTCAACAGAATAAAATTAATGTTATTTATTTAGACGTTTAATTTGAAATAAATGTTAAAATGCCCAATAATCCTCCCAAATTCAAAGAATATAAGAACTTTTAAGATGTGCACACCTTAACTATTAGTCATTTAGTGTTTTTCTGTGTTACAATAATGCTTACACATGAATGCCTCAATATCTACAAAAATCTAATAATTTTAAAGCATAGAGGAAGAAAATTACATTGAAGTTTATATATTTACTGCAGTAGAATCTTGTGCAATTTTTCTTTCTATAAAAATATGTTTAAACAAGGCTGCACTGCTAACTGATCTGATTGCTTTTTCCAGAGCTCTTTTTTTACAATTACAGTGTTACTTTGTAAAATACTACATTTATAATTTTACTAATAAATGTTTATATTTGTTTAGGCTTTAACAGGAGCATCCCAATTTTTTTTTGACTGAACAGGGCTGACTATAACCAGGCTGTAATTTCAAAGACGGAAAGAAAGATTTTAATGGCCCCTTCTCAGCTAAATTATTTTTGAACTGTTTTTATTTATCTGTTCTTGAAGGTAGTTTCACTTTGGCAGTGGAAGATAAAGAATATAAAGAAAAATCCTCATTTTATTTAGGCGAGAGCTGCTTTAAGGTCTTTATAATCCACGGATGAAATAAAATACAATTAATGATTAAGTTGTTTTGAAAAAATAGGCATCAATTATTCTTTTTCCACGTTGATCTCGCACATCATGTTATCAATCTTTGCACATAATTGGTTTGAACAAGGTATTTGGTCTGATGCATTTATGGAGGTGTTATGTCTTTTGAAGATGTTCCCCCAAACATTTTATGTACAGCTAAAAGTCTTTTATGAGAATCTTGCTTATAGAAGTCCTGTTCTGCCTGGACTTCTGATTAATGGGCACAACATTACAAACAATAAACTTAAAAATACTAAAATTAGGGAACTTTTATACTAATACTCTGTTTCCCTTTGTATCTAACCCAAATTTCATTTCACATTTCTTTTCAAAGGATCAAAAGAAAACAATTAGAGCAAATTATTTAAATCTTCCCATTCCTCCAAAAGCTAAGGAAGTCCACTTGAAAACCTTTACAGGGGTTTACCCCTCTAAGGAATTCCTCAGACTTCGTTTTGCAATTGATGATAACACTTGTTCATTTTGTGATGATAAAATTGAATCAACAGAACACATTTTCTATGAATGTATGTATTTTAAAGCTTTGTGGGATGATGTGCACTATACTGGCTTTTCCCTAAAATTCAAATTTTATGGGAATTTGCAAAGAATGACATTATTTTTGGATCCCTGAGAAAAGAAAAAGATCTTGAAAGGTTATTAAATGTAATTATTGTTATGGGCAAATATTTCATTCACAAGTGCCGTTTCCTTAAAAACAAAACCATCATTTCCTACTTTTCACAAGGAACTCTGCCACCTCTTCTTATCTATGAAGTTCATGGACAAACATCAAGGTGTGGAGTAGTTTCATATGATAAACGAACTGAAACTACTGGAAAACCCCTAGTTTTTATTTTATTTGTTTATTTATTTATTTTTGTTATTCTATTTGATTCTTGTATTATTATTGTTTTTTATTATTATTATAAAATTATTATTTCTGTGTGTTTGGAAGCAACCTGTGCTGGCTTTTTCAGATTTGAATATCTCTGATATTGATGCCATATTTGTTGTGTTAATAATAAAAAAAATAAAAAAAAATCTCGCACGTCATGTTTACCAAACTGGGTCCTGACGTCATGACGTAACCCGTTCCGTTCCTTCCAATCGTCTGCAAAACAGTTGCCTTCAGGGGTTGTACGAACGTGTGTGTAAAGAACAGACGTGGCAGCATATTGGGATAAAAGGGAGGAATTTCATAAGGTTGACTCATATTCATAAAATACGCTAAATTTAGTCATCACACATTTTTGCTATTTGTCATTTTATTAAATGTCAACACTTGGCATACATGTTCTCCCACAATGTTCTGTCCTTATTGTGATATTTTTCTGCTTAGCTTTGCATGCCTGACATGGTGGTTCAAGCAAAATAATAATAATAATAATAATACTTTGGTTTGCTGATTTTAGCTAATCAGTTATCTTGATGATTAAGATTCTGTGGAAGCATATACAAAAACTTAACGTAGAGTATAATTAAAAAGCTCCTCTAAGTCATACTTTTGAATTAATATTTCAAAATTATGACAGCATTTCATTATTATAAAATACTACCATCAAAATCATGACTAAACATACCATAATCATCATAAAGTATAATACTCATATAAAATTATGAGATGCTATCTTATATTTTTGAGATAAGTTCAATTTTAAGATGTCATCATTTTGAAATACTAAGCCAATTATGAGATGCTTAGCCATAATTATGAGAAGCTATGAGAATTATGAAAAGCTAAATCAAAATTGAAATTATAATGATATAGATTTTTTTCTTCTTCTTTCGGCTGCTCCCTTCTTCAGGTGTCCCCAAAGCAAACTAAGTCGCATGAAGACTTGGCAATTATTTTTACGCCCGATGCCCTTCCTGACACAACCACAGACCACCGAGCTACCACAGCCCTCAGTGTGGAGCAGAGAGCTGATATCTAGGGCGCCCAGGGGTGCAGTTTGGGGGTTAAAGCCTTGCTCAAGGGCCCAGGGTGGGGCAAATGAGGATAGAGACAGGTGTGGGTGCTTCACCAATCCCACCCGCATTTTGATGTTGTCGGTACTGGGAGTTGAACAATCGATCTTCCGATCACAGGCCCACCTTCTCTAACCTCTGCGCCACTACTCCCACAATTATTAGATATTGAGATAATATTTTATAGTTACATACTGTATGTGATTATTTTAGTTGAGACAGTGGTTTGTTATTTATCTTATATTTATTTTTATCTTTTGCGAGCTGATTATTCGTTGTTGTTGTTTGTTTTTTTTAAAAGACAAGTTTTAAACAATTTTTAAAAAGTATTTAATGTTGCATTTAGACGACACAAACAAACGTGTCAATGTATTTCCAAGTACATCGTTGAGTTTTCCGAGGATGCCCTGAAGGCAGCACATCAAACACGTCGCCTCCTCCCTCCTCCTCCTCGCGCTCCACTATCTTTAGCTCCGACACGGATTACTCAGCGCAGTGAGCAGACGCGCATTCCGCTCAGCTTTAAGCTTTGTGCACATTTCCCCGGAGCTCCCTCATTCTACAACAAAGTAAAAACGAAGAATAAAACACTAACGTGATGGCGGAATGACAGCAACAACCGCCCTCGTCTTCGGCTCTCCCTCAACAAGAAGACCCCAGGATGCTGCCGCTCTCCAGCCCGCCGTGCGGACACCAGCGGCGGGCCTCGGTGCTGCTGCTGCTCGCTGCGGCGCTGCTATGTGTCGGTGTCAGCGCTAGCCTCCCAGGTAAACTCGCAAACACGGGCCAAATAAACCGAGCGGGCTAAGTTTGCCTGAAAATTGTTAGCCCCGTTTTCAACGGGCACGAGACTTGTCAGTTTCGTCGTCGTTTACCGCCAGTGGGTCACCTGTCGCCTGCGGATGAGCTCGTGACAGTTAAGCTGTGCAGGCCTTTCACTGTTTTTATTTTTCGTCTTTTTTCTCGTTTATTGTGTCGAGTTTGTGTCTTGTGTTGGACTTATCCTGGGTTTAAACCTCTGTTTTAGCCAACAAATATCTGTTTTGATGAGAAGAAGAAAAAAACCTTCCGTCAGTCAAATTAATCTGTTTCCTTGGGGAGCTTCTGTTAATTTTACACAAATCTGGACTAAATCCCATGGAGCTGACTTTATACTTAGATTAATCCAAATAAAACATGAAATGACACCTTAAAGATAACATTTAGGAATGCAGGTTCATATCTCAACGTTTAGATTATGAGAAAATTTGTTTTGTTTTTTTTGCTTTTTTAATGCATATTTACATTTACAAGTGGGATTAGAGATCCTTTATATAATGGCTTTTTACATAACAGAATAATTAACAGAACAGGGGTTGATTTGTGCACACAAAATATGATTATTCATTGTCTCTGTGAGAGAGTATATCAGAAATTGTTTACTTTTTATGTGTAGCGGACATCATTTATGTCTTTAAAATAAAACATGGGGAAACCAACAGCTGGACTGTCGCATTTAATCTTGAACCTTTATCAGATTCACACACTCGGTGTTTGCACTGAACATTTATTGACACAGATTTGTGTGAATTTATGCTTTTGAATACTTTTTTTTTCCCTACATCAGCTACAATAATCATTCACTTGAATCTCTGAAAGCCATGAATGCAAAATGAAGTGTGGTTTAGTTTCTCAGAAAGACACTAAAAATGAAAAAATAAAAAAAAAAGTGAAGATATTTTCTTTTTTTGTCCACAAAGGTTGAATTTGACGTGACTCATATCTGTCACAGTTCTTCCGCCGCAGACGTGTTCTTGACGTCTTTCCTGAAGATTGAACGTGAAATATTGTCTCAAATTTAACCAGAAATTTGAATTTAAATAAGTTATTTGCAATGTTATAACTGCGCCGAAGGCAAGAGGTGATAATGTTAATTTTACAGATGTGTTGGCAAAATATCTTATGAACCAGTGGGTGGATTTTAATGCACCTCTGAGAAAGTATCACTGAAGTCAATCGCATTCAAAATGGCTAAGCAATTTTAGCAAACGCCAAAATTGTTATAACTTGGTCAATTGTACAAATATTGAGCTCAAACTGTGTAGTAGTTGCTTTGCTCCTTTTCAACACAAGATAATGTTTGTTTAAAATTTTTGCATGGAAGCTGCAGATGATACATTCCTTTAAAGAATGCTAAACCTTTAATTGAGCCAATAAATGAAAAAAATAAAATAAAAAAATAGCATGTTTTTCAATCAAATGTTTTATGGTAAAACCTTCCAGCCACATAATATGAAAAACCATTTCAGATGCTAAGTTATTAATGAATGCCTAATTTTTGTATGTGTCATGTCTAAAGACTTAAAACCAACTGTGAGATTATGGGTTTGTGAGAAGATGGAGAACGCTGCGTCTTTTTCTGCACGTTCAGAGACGAATGATTGCTGTCACTAGCAGCCGAAGGCTTTGGTTTGTTTTTAGCACGGCAACTGTTACAGTCCAACGCAGCGTGATGTGGCGGTGTCTCATGTCGGCTACTGTTTGCGTATGTTGTTAAACATCACTTCTAAAACATGTCTAATCCGGTTTGAAATTATTAATTCATACGTGTAGCTGCGAAAGTATGCTTCAGGACCAACCACACCGTATTTTTCCTGGTAAAACGTACTTTTATCGGATGAATTTTATTTCCTAGCAGACATTGCACACAGCATAACCACACCTAAAAGAAAATAGGTGGTTGATTCAGAAAAAACTGACTTATCATCCTGTGTAAATATGCTAGCAAGCTTTCACTGAACATTGAGTTTTAGGGATGGAAGTAGTCCAAAATCTCAATTTAAGCAATTGGTTGCATAAACTATGCCAGCCATGACGAGCTACTCATAAATTAAACACGCAGCTGAGACTGTGACTTTCACAAAAAATAAATTTCATATGCATGCTTTTCTGCAGCACCTGATTTGAAAACCCATCGTCACTTTGTGCCACGTTTCTCATACATAAAACCCACTCAGGGTGGGATTATTACTCAGCGAGCCTTCTGCCCATGGCCTTTTCCTCCATCAGGATTAAGCTTTAATAATGACTTGTATCTTTATTGTCACACTCCGTCTTCCCCTGCTCACACACACACCACTGGTCCTTGTCACCTTTAATGACAAAAGTCTTTATTTGTGTTGTAGTGGAGGAAAAGGTCAGGTTGGATGACGCACACTGCTGCCAGGGGACATGAAAACCATTAAGCAGGGTGTTTGGACTTTTAAAACGGCTTATATTTGTATTTTACATATATTAATGCATCTAAATAATGCACCAGATGCTTTTCCATTGGACTGAAAAAGACACGGCTTTTTAAGAGTCATATTGAAGGTTTGTGGATCGTCACGTTGACGCAGACCTTTTATAATAAAACCACCCCTGAAGTGCTTTGAATTGAAAGTTCCTGAATATGAGGAAACATCAGCTAGACCTGTCGCAATAAACAATAAATCAATTAATCGCATGATAAATGAAAATTATCGACCTCATTTTCATTTATTGGCTTTATCGGTTGTTCTTGTCTCTCTTTCTACTGAAGACACTGGATGACAAAACTCCGGTGCTCTTCACTGACCCCTCCCTTTCTCTTTTCGCTTTAAAATCTATTTTAACGATCCAAAATCGCGTTTTTGGATTGTTAAAAGCAGCTAAGCTGAGAAGCTAAGCTATGAGCTAAGCTAACAAGCCGACCTCGGGGAAAAAACCTCCGTCTTGTCGAAGCTCCAAAATTCACGGTTGAAACACGTGCCTTCGTCTAAAAAGTTGTTTTTCTCTGCAAAAAGAAGCTGAAAACTTGTTTACTGATTTTTTTTAATTAAAAGCTTTATGTGACAAATGCTATGCTAAAGAGCTCAAATGAGCGTCCGCCATTTTGAGAACCGAATAAAGGAAGGCGAGACAGCCCATGTCACGTTAAGGGGCCTCCCTCCCATTTTTCTTAAAGAGACACGCTGCTCGCTCCCTCACTATCCATCCTTCAATTCAAACAGTCTTATCCCGCTATCAGGTGGTCGAAAAAAGGTACTACATTCAAAACTAATTAAACATTTCTTCTTAAATTTGATAATAATGAATTCAATATTATCGTTTATCGCAATAATTTCTGAGACAATTAATCGCCCAGGAAAATCTGTTATTGTGACAGGCGTATCGTCACATCGACTCAGACCTGTTTATAATAAAACCACATCTGAAGTGCTTTGGATTGAAAGTTATTGAATATGAGGAAACATCAGGTAAAAATTTGCCTGGAATGATGACCAAAGCAGTGAAGGATTTTTGTTTAAAACTGTCCAGAGAGACCGACAATACGAAGCTCAGAAAGTACTTTTGGCAACTTTATTATGTACACATTTGATTAGATCCCTTTTGTTATTTTTTAACGTCATTGTTATTAACTTCTCTACAGATTCTGCCTTTCTTGGAAGTATTTTTTTAGAGATAACAAGTGCCTCATTCAGGTTTTAAAATGGCTCTGTTATGCAGTTTTTGTGTTCTTGGGTTTTACTCCACTCAATTGATTTAAAGATTACGACAGTGATTTTCTGCTTTAAAATACATAACAGCCAAACCAGAAATCTTTTGTGAAACACACAGATTTTACTTGTTCTTTTTCACACTTAAAAAAAAAAAAAAAGTCTTTCATTTACTATCAGCTACTAGGTGGTTCCAAGAAATGAGAGAGCCATTGAACCAAACCAGAGGTTCATATTGATCCCATAAATGGAAACGAAGAAACGCTTCGTTTGTGTGTCAGCAGGTTTCAGTGAACCAGTTTGCATGCCACATCCTTACCAAGAATGCTAGCAACAAAAAAAAACATTCATTGAGACAATCGTGTTCCGAAGCGTTTCATCTAAATATCATAGCAATGTTTTTTTTTTTTTGTTTGTTTTTTTTAATATCAAGGTTAAAATCATGTCCAAATATCCTGGGGTGTCAGGTTACACTTTTCTATTTAATGTTTATTTTCCAACACTAAAACCGAATCGAGCGTAAACAAAACATGACTATTGTTCCTGTTAGATTCAAACAAACATGATGACAGTGAGAATAGAGCATTAGACAAATAAAATCCAAGCTTTTGTTTCCCTGCCTGCACATATCTGTCGTATAACTCCTGCTTGTCCACTGTTAAGTAGTCTGATCTGCTCATCCTATTGACAACAACATAATTATTTCCCGCTGTGTAATGACTCAGAAGTTACAGGAACAGAAAACCAGAATAAATGGGGAGATAAACCAAGGCATCTACCGGTAGTCTCCTCATTTTACTGCAAGCTCACGTTCCGTTACACTAGAAGAAAACTTTTTTTTTTTAAAGTTTACTACTTTTTCTTTACTTGCACAACCATTGTATTTCCTACCTCGGCCTTTCCATCTAGTCCAGTGTGGTGGTTTGGGTGTACAAGCTTGTTCGTGTGTGTTAACAGGTGCAAAGTCATGCACTACTTTCCACCAAACATGAACATGTAGGAGTTCATTGCATCAGACTGTGGTGAGAAAAAAGCACCTGCCCCACATGTATCCACTTTCCACACGTTGTTTCAATTGGTTTCTAATAGAAAATGCCAGAAAGTCCCAAGCTAAAGAAAGCAAAAGACTTGATCTGTCAGAATTGTCTTTGACACAGATGCATTTAGTTTAATTTGCCGGTGTGTCTCAGCTGGTTTGACTACACAAAGTTAAGGATCAAGGAATCCATCCAAGGTGCACAAGATGTGTAAATGTTTGTTTTATACTGTAG